AGATCTTTGGCTATACGAATTTCCTCCGTGGCTCCCTTTGAACCATGTCTGGAAGGAGGATGTGCGAATGGTCGTAAGAATATGATTCGTCAAGTCGTCATTCAGACATTTCTTTTCATACATCGCCAGCACCCAGGGTTCCCCAGGATAAAGAGCAAGAAGGCAAGAAGCCTGGAAAATACGTAGTGGCAGGCCTGCAGTGGGTGGAAATTCCCACGTATAGCGGTTATTCATCGGGGGAGCAAAAGACAAAAATGGAAAAGAGAGGAAACTGGACCGGGTAACATGGATTTCAAGCCAGACAGGGGTAGTTGGACCAATCCTTTCGTGCATGACAGGTTGAGTCACCTTGTAGCACGAGATACCGTAACACTTGCGAGAGTGTACCGATAAGCAAGCAGTAGCTATCTAATATGTATGGAGTAACAATAGTGTTGTTCCCGTTAGACATAGCTAATCATCTGCTGGCACAGAGAGGCGGCAGGAGCCACGATAGCCTCTCGTGACCTGATTTTGGGAAGCAGTACTTTACCGCTCTGCTCAACAAGTAGTGCAACAACGAAATGTGTGGAACTGAGGGGGATTTGGACTGGGATAAAAGGGGCGAACCAAACTGTCGGGACAATCATGGCGATTTCTTTGGATGACCAGTCCTTGTTGGGCATGCTCGTTTCTTTTTCGCTCAGACGGAAATCCGAGGGAAAGCTTCAGCTTGACAGGGTTGGGGAAAATCATGAATTCTCGGTACTTTCAAATACCTCCCATATTATTCTGCGTCTTTTAACTATCCCTGCCAGTAGCTGAGAGACAGACGAGAGGTTGGAAGCCACAAGCTCTTGGAGCTAGAGAGGATGGCGAAACGTCCTTTTGCAGTACACAGGTTTTGGCAGGAGGAAGATGATTTTGAATATGGAGACGTTCCCTGTATCATGATCACCACGAGAACCGACAGTTGTAAATCATCGATATGCAGGGTCAAACTCACAGGCCATCCCTACCCGTTTGCTCTTTGACCTCCTGACCCCCATCTCCATCCGTTGGTCCTGGCGCAATCGACGCGAACATTTCTATAAGGAATCCCACCAGCTAGCTTAGCCGTCTGCGTGCCTTTCGCGGGATAAGGCGACAGGCTAATCGATATTCCTTGCCAAATATAACATTTGGAGTTCCAGTAAAATGGTCCAGCCTTCGCCCCCTTGGGAGCTTATCGATTTCTGCGCCTTGATGACCAGATATCAATGATACCCAATCACCTTTCACCCCTCACCAAGGTTAGGGGATCTTCCCAAGGAGAATTCACCGGCTTCTTTGCGTACTGTTGAATCTCCTGGAATTTAGACACGTCCTCCTGTAGGGATTTGGTGATACCCCTGTAGATGCAAAATAACTGATGCTTCACTCGATCTTTGGAAACCCCATGGCAGTGGTCCAGTGTATCAAGGACGAAGGTGTCCATTAGCTCGACTATTTTCCGCCCCCGCGTCTGCCCACGCCGGATTTTTTGAATTATAGCCAGGGGCCCGTTATGGTTATGTGTTGAGGGGAACCCTGCTCAGCGGTAGCGAGCATGTTAGCCGTTACATTCATATGGGTGACCACTCTCAAAACCAGCAGATAAGCTTGTTTTTGCCCAGGGGATGTGAATGACACTCTAAATACCGCAGGCTGGACATCAACTGGCAAAGCAGGAGAGAACGAGCATCCAATATAATCCTCTCATGATGCAAGCCCCTGAGCTTCTCTCCATGCATCCGTTGGGTTCGAGTTGTTGTTGCAGGATGTTAACAGTTTGATATCAGGCAAAAACAAGGTGTGCGGGTCAATAACTAGCCAATCATATCCAAGAAAAGAAATTCGCCAATAGCTTTGTTTATGTATATTGGGATACGACTAGCTATTGGTTCATATATAGAAATTATATTATTGGTCGAAATATGCTTAGTAATATTGAGAACATCAACTGCAAGGAAGGAAAAGAACAACGACAACAACAAGATAGCGCATGTGAAGCGCACGATACAAGCCGAATGCCATCATTAACCCTGATATACCTTCATCAAGGGCAGAAACTGGGCTGCTCTTGACTTTGCGCTCTCCATCTCTGCCGTTGAACGGTTTTATACCCCACGCGAATCTAATGCCGCATATTAGGGTAATTAGGGTAGTTGGCCTCGGGCTGCATAGCAAAAGAGGCTAATGAATGACTATGCAAGGCAACCCGGAGTACCGAAACAGCCTTTACTGGCTATCCCGTGTGCCTTATCTTAGGATCAATGATTGCAGTTATAGAGGATGAACTATCTAGCTCGTGCGGACCGACAGATACACCCCAGAAGGCTCTGTGAGATATGGGAATTTCCCAGAAATGAAGGGAGCTGTGATTCCCCTGAATACCCTGGCGGGAGACTATTGTGATATGCTAGCATTTCTGGCAATCAGGCATCCTGCCAATGAGACGTTGCGATTCCACCAGACAACTAATGACCGCAATGTCTGTACAATTCGTACTTTATACCCGGATGAAGGGAAAAATAGGTGTTTAAAACGTCATTCTTCTCTCAGGCCGCTTCATTTTTATACTATTTAGTTCCCACGACCTTTATTTTCTACCTACCGACGGACTCATCGTCGGTCAACTGCGCTATTGACTGCAAATCTTTTTGTCGCTCTATGTCTTTATGAGATACGGGTTATTATCTCCCTATTGTAGGAGAGGTAAACCCATGCCCTGCAGCATTTCAGCAGCAGGTTGAAAAGCTACCACCACAACAAGATGCTATGGAAAATACAGTCAATGTGACTTTTGGGTTGCGCCATGCAAAATCTTGAACTCTGGTTAAGAACTAATTAGGCTCGGCCCGTTCCGGTTCCAGTTTATCTTGGGAAGAAAAATTATTGAGTGCTATTTACAAGGAGCGACGTTTTGCCTGGAGCTTATCGCGAAAATCATGAGGCTCAACGCCTTCGGTGTCATTGCATCCGTAGTACTGGGAATTGGGAATCAAGTATTGACTGGCACGCAGGGAGACGCGCAGTTCCCCCAAGAGATGCAAAGTGTCCATGGTGATCAATAATTAGTATCTCTACCAGATTTGGGCTAACTGTCAACGACGGGCTCTCATCAGATACCATCATCTCCGAGCAAGATTTTCCTATTACGGGATCACATACAGCAGAGAGTGAAGAACTGAAAATGATAGTAGTCCCGCCAAAAAGAAGGACAGATCACAGATTTGGCATCATTGCTAGCAATGATGTAAGTGATCGTTCAAAAAAGATACATTGAATTGGTATATAACAACAGCGATGCGAAGCCAGCGTTTGACCATCTCTGTGACAGGATTTCAAGTCGAAAAAGAGGTGTGATTCTGCGCGTAATGCTTTTTGGATGTACATCCTGATTTACCTTGCCAGGGAGAAACTCAAAACGGTAAGTCGTACGACAAAAGAGCTTAGTCGGATAACTACTTCACCTGTACAGAGCACCTCCAATTTTTACAAGGACGTGTGGAGTTTGGCACAACACCGTGACATATTAATATCTCCCTTCGCACCTACAACCACGACCACAGCCTCGCTGGATCATAAACTTCACTGCGCCGTGCTATCGAATATGCTCCCCTGCTCAAGCCAGGCTTTCGGCAGTCCCGGCCCTCCGGTACTGGGCGCAGGTCCAACTCCCAGCACAAACATTCTTCAAGACCTGGTTAAGGCCAATTACTTATCTGACATTTCATCTCCGGCTGCAGATCGATTTCTTCACTTCGATTCCCCAGTAAGGAAATCCAAAAAAGGGAAATTCTCTCTGGTTATGCGTGTCAACCATGGACATGGCTGGCTTGCAGCAACCAAACTCGGGCTGCAGACTACCTGCGTTGTGACTCCGAAAATCGGTAAGGTGGCACAGAGTGTACATTAGTTAGGCCCGTTTGTCTGGCCCGTTTGCCCCCAAAAATGACCATGTTGGCAGCTAGCTGGCCAACTATTCACCGGATTGCCGGGAGTCTCGTTGGCCGTACCAATCATGTACTCCGTCGGCAATGCTCCCTAAGTGGAAATATTCCAGAACACCAGCTCTCTCTGTGACTAGTTGAGTGAATCCGGCGCCGCCCGGAGTAACTACATGCAGAGTCTGTCAAACCGAGTTGCTTTTTCCACAGATAAACGAGGGAGGATGACGATTTTGGCAATTTACATGACAATCGTCTCCTGTTGTGTGAGTAATGTCTGTATAGTTATCCTTCATGGAATGCAGCTTTGGCAGATCTTCAAACTCCTTTTTCTCACTACCTGGTTTAACTAACTAACCAGTGACCTTTGGCTCGGTGCAAAGGGCTACGCCGCGTAAGGCCAGAGTTTCTAGAAATATTCGGTTGCCCAAATATTCTCAACATGCAAGTGTATTGCACACTCGTTGTCTGTTGGTTGGGGCTGTTCGATGGTTACCACGACTCGGAATACGATTGGAAGGTTATACTGATCTCGCCCCCAAACTACACAAGCTAAACATGCATTCCCGGATTGACACCATCGCTGTTGGGCCTTTCACAACCTCTCTCCATCCGTCTGATGACATTCTTTCTTATTCCACGTTTTCCTACCCCCTTTTGATTGGGATATAAGATGCGCTTGTGCCCATGGCTGTCGAGCAATCCTCTCGCATTCTCACTAACATCCGCGGGCTCGAAGCTGACAAGACAATGTGTTTTTGCGCTGAAATTCCTATATATGCGATTCTATGATGCGACGAACCCTGGTTTTTGTCCAAGCAGCAGCCATACCCATTATTTTCTGTCTACAAGCCATATCTGCAAGGCCCTTAGGCCTTTCTAGGCGGTCGGGCATAGATTCCTCATATACCCTCCGCTCAATCAAAGACCAGCCAAAAAGGGAGAAAGGAGTTATTGATCTCGAGAAGAAGGTAAAGCTTCTAATAGGGCTGTGTGCGGGATTCGGAGGCCTCCTGTGTATGTCCTACTGTAATTTTCCCTTTATCAGGAATGATTCATGCTCACTTGTCTCGTGCAACAGTTATATCTCTTATTTTATATCTGATTATTCACCAAAAAATGTGGTACCGAAAGCTATTTTGGCGCGAAAAGGCCAGCCAGCGAGGCGAGAATAATGGAGCTTCACCATCGACTCACCCTGATTTCCCTTGTCATCCTCTTTACCGGGAAGGGATTCGAGCAGCGAGTACCCAAACCAGCCCCAAGCTGCCTGAGGCACAAACTCCTACTCCATCAACCCCTTTCAGATACCACCCTTACCATCCCCAACCACCAAATGCATATTACCAGCCTGTAGAGGTTTACAGAACGCTCATGCTACCTGACGAAATACTGGAAACGCATGCCGGCCAGGCTCATGGCTCCAGAACCGATCGTTCGGCTGCAAAGGGTCCCCAGGACGAACTCTCTGCTACACCACACAACCGCCCAGATGCTGCTGAAGCTGCTCCTCACCCAGTTCCTATCACGCATCCAGCTCAACTCCCGATTCATAGCCCACAGCCGCGTCGTATGGGGCTGCCTGTGAGCCCCAAGCTCCAGTAACAAGCTACTCTCGTGCATAAAGTTGACTCTTTCATGATTATATGTATACCCAAGTACTTTCTCTTTATATATTAATGATGTAACTGCTTTTATGTTGGTCTATGGGCTGCGTCTTTGAACGCCTCGTCTTTCATTCTCCTTTTGTTCCAGGAGTTATCATTCCCGATTTTGTCCATAGTTTACTATTCCTTTCATAATATACCCTAAGAATATTCGTTAAAACACATGGTAAACAGGAAATATTTTCTAATACAAGTGTATTCCACCTTTATCTGCCGAATATTGAACCACGTTAATGTGTTGTATCTTGTTCAGTAGTTACCCTCGCAGTAACCCGTCATGGATATCAACGGTCCTGTAGCAGCCAAGTTTGAGTACTCGACTATACATAGGCAGTGTCCTTCTGCCCATGGTCGCATCTCCTAGGGTATAATCTCTTCTGTAATCGCACGGCTCGCCGGCTTCTCAGTCGAAAGTCAAAGAGGAGGCGAACAAGGATGGAGCTGCATCTACGCGCCGTGCTATTTAGCATGAAGTATAAAATTGGGAGACGCCTGGCCGCCACAGGAGAAGATGGACATCCCAAGAGCATGGCTCCCAATCACAGCTCCCACCCATTGAGGCAATGGTAACAGTTCTGCCAGAGTAATCCGTGTTCTCTCCATGGGATTTTCATTTTCGCCCTTCCTGCCCGTCCTCATGTACGGGGCTGTTGAGGGAGAAGAAGTTGCATTTTTTAGGGGGCCGTAGAAGAAAGCCTAGCCACTTAGTTAACTACTTACGTAATCCAGGGGCTTAACTAGAGCGACGTCAAAAAGTTGAACTTCATCCTTTCTACTCCGTACTCCGTGTCAACAACAGAATGAAGGGCGGAATGAAAACGGCCCTTTTGTACTCTGTACAGCGGCGGGAGCGAGAGGAGTCATGATTCTGGGCTTGGAAGGTCGATGGCGGCCGGTAGACGAGCTCACGACTAGCCGGCTTTTACGAGAATCGCACAACATTGTACCGAACGAATGAGGTATCGCAGAAGGATGGGCCGCCTCAGGGACCCCTTGTTCGAGGCAGCACTTGAGTTAGCGCCCAGCGAAGAGGCCAATCATCGCTGGACTGGGCCTCGCTACTCTTCTTCCCTGTCTGGCGCTCGCGAGGGTCGAGGATCTCGTCTAGAAGAACGGCCATAGTGAAAAAAGCCAGCAGTTGTGAGGTTGCATCCGAACAGAGGACAGAGATGGCCACAAGCCGCAGAGACATCGCAAAGGCCTAGGACACCTAGGACAGAGAGAGCGCGCTCTGTGATGCCTCCGTTCTGTTTTAGAAACAAAATCGGGGTATGGCGGAGCGAGGACAAGACCTCCCGTCAGATGGTGGCTTATATGGGCCATGGGCGGATGAGCGTCCAGTGGATCCCGCATCATGCATTGCATCTCAAGCTCTGTCCAATGGCACTCAACGGACAGGGATACATCACATCCTATCACACTCTGTATCACCGCCCCAGGGCGGCCGGGCCAACTCGAAAGCTGACAGATTGGCCGGCATCGACCAGACCCAACCATGTTGGCTGGGGGGAGGGAAGGGCCTCTCCTGCAAGGGATCAATCTGTTTACCCTCCTCCCTTGTGATGACAATTCGTCTTGTCCCTTTCTTTGACCTCTTCATGCATGTTCTTGCGGAAACCATTCTCCCTGCATACTCTTGAAGTATGGTTGCTTTTTCCCTTGTCCTTTCTTCATCAAATGTCGAATAGTTCATAAGCTGGGACTCGAACGCTTTGTTCGACTTCCTTCGTTTTCCCCGTCTCTTGTCGGCCCTTCCACCCCAGAGTGTGCCCGTTACGCACCGTTAGTCCTGCTTGTTTACTGATCTCAAGAGACTCATCGTGAGACGTTTTGCGGAGTACATACCACCAGAAGCACTTTGTGGTTTGTGCTTCCCCGCCCTTCCGTTTGAGACACCCGGGAGGCTGCGTGCTGATGCGACCGATTTCAGGGCCAATATACAACTTGGGAAGTCTGCTCTACTTACTGGTGACCCCCCAAAAGAGATAAAGAACACAGCAATAAGTCGATACAGACATTCTTTATGTCAACGTGACAGAAAAGGGATATCACTCGGATGGTTTTATACGGATAGAGAGGTTTTGCCAATCCGTCGGATGCATACAAACTCTTACCGGACTCGAATTCTTTGTCAACTGGAGTTTTTTTTCGCGATAGCGCGCTACGCTCTGCCATGTTGCTCTCCATACTTGTGCTGTATACCCTTCTACTGCAAGAGGTTTCAGCAGTCCGCTTCACACCATTTTCACCATGCGCCGATGTGTGTGGCGGCATGATAGCGAACACCACTCACAAGGAGATTAAGTGCCATGATGATGAATTTGAGTCCACAGCCGAGGGACGTCGTTTCCGTGACTGCGTGTCATGCGAACTGCAAAGTACATTTTATGATGTGCCTCACGACGAATCTGATGTTAAATGGGGTTTATGTATGAAGCTCCATTCCGATATAACCGTGCGAAATGAATTAGACTTGTGGGTGGCTAACATGCAAGTAATTTCTAGATAACCTGCGATTTGCCTTTTCCACTTGTATCTACGGCATCCCCGCGGTGAAACAGTCATTATCAACTCCATGTCAGGTTACCTGTCAAGGTCTATCTGAGTCTATCATATACAAACTAACGGAGCCTATCGGAAGGAACCTCTATGATTTTTGTGGGATATCGACATTCTCTGATAAGGATATCACCGATTGCACCATCTGCTACTCCCTGACTGAGAATGAAAAGTTCCTTGCCAACTGTAAGTCCATCAAGCTGCAACCAAGGTTGGAATTATACTGACAAATCGGCCTTTTAGTCCTCGAGGCTTTCCGCGAAGGATGCCGCGCCAGAGTCCCCGCGGGGGACAAGTTTTTTATCGAGCCCAATAGGATCTTCAACAAGTTGGCCTTACCCGCCGACCAAGATCCACAACTCCCGGGCAAGAATACGGGCCGCTCGAGGAAAAATTTGATTCTCATCATTGTTTTACCAATCATTGGATTCTTATTATTCGGTGCGGCTCTATCCGTGGGTTGCTTCTTCTTTATCCGCAACCGTCGCCGAAGATCCAGGAGGGAGAGTCAATCGAGTAGTCTGCATGAAAGATGGAATGATACCTCCATCATGACTCCATCGCACAATGGCCTTCACAAGTATTGGGGAGGCGAGCAAACTCCGCAGCCACAGCACCCATATGATCCCAGTATGGCACAATCTTATAACCACTCATACTACGGCCCAGATCAACAGGATGTCAAGTATCCCTCTGAGGCTCATATGATGACCTCCCTCGCCCCTCAAACAACCCAACATGCCACCGATGGCGACCGAAAAGTCCCAATACTATCTGCAGCACCACCTCCACGGAAATCTCTAACGAACAATAGATAGAAGCGCCTGGAGATTGCTGATGCCTATTCCCTCCATTTAGATTCTTCTATATCTACCTTCTTCTAGCTCAAGTTACTTCACCCCTACCCCGACTTTGGCTCCTCCACCTATTTTATGATACCCTTGTATTTATGTCTCATGTCAAGCGTGTTCCGCAGGGCCTAACTCGCCTACTCTCCCCTATTTCTTTCTTGTTCTTTGTTCCGCTATATGGAAAACAGTATTGGTCATTTTGGGACATATGGAGTCTATACTATACTGGGGTATTTAAGCATAATGAAAATTTCCTTGATGAATACTAGCCTTATATTTTCTCAATGGTAGTGAAATAGACTATCTACGTAGGATCTAAATATGCTTTGTGGTAGTTAACTGCCAGCTCCAGCTCCTTATCGATAAGACCTGATGGGTTGAGTTTACACTGTTTTCGCGCTCGCAGAAACTCCATTGAGCTGGCCAAACCGCAATCGCATCTGTTAAATACGCCTACACACAACTCAGGCAGGATTACAATGGCGTCCCTAACTCAAGAGCAGCTGAAAGTCATTGAACAAACGCGGCAACGGCTCGTTAACCTGACCCAGTCACTGGGATCTCTAGTCAACAATATCTCGCAGAGCCAGCCACTCCCAGCTTGGTGAGCAGCATTGACATTTCCCAAAGAGCCCGGGAAACATACAACAAGAGACTCAAAACTAATCCCCATATCTACCAGGTCATCACTTCAGTCACAAGCTACAATAATATCGAACAACCTGCTTACCATATCCCAGCTGCTTCATGAACACCGCGACCTGTTCTCGTCCCTGGTTGTGTATCCAACACCCGCGTTCCCCGGCAGGACAGAATCCTCTATACTCAACCAACTTATGCGAACAAAACTGGAACCCCGGGTAGAAGATTGGCTAGCACACGGGCGATCGGTGGGAAAAGAAGCTCTTGAACAATCAAGTGGTGATCACCAGCAACTTACAGCTGGCAATATTTCAACATCTGAAAGCGGTGCTAATACACAGCGGTTATCGGGAGAAGACTTACAGGCTTTGTGGGAATGGGCACCGATTGAGGCCAACATGGAAGCTAGAAGGAGAAATTGGGGCGGCGATTATACTATCGAAGAGAAGGAAGCCGGTTTAAACAACGTGATTACAGGCTTAACTAGAAAATTAAATGAGAATGTCGAGGGGGCGGCTGGACGAGACCTTGACGAATCTGAGGACGAGGATGAAGTGATGGAGGGTGCTGGAGAGGAGGTGAAGCCTGGTGCCGGCCTTCCATCTAGGGATAATACTACCATGCCGCTGGATGATTTCTTCCGATATATGATGACAGGCGCAGAGCCACGACCACGTTGAGAAAATAATGTTTTTTATAAAAATTGGCTTTTCAAAAATACCAAGATTAACGGGAATATGGCAGTTAAGCATAACCGCTTCAAAAAGAAGACAAAGATAGCAGTCATTAATTAAACTGGGAGACAACCAGGACGGGAGACACCGAATTGCTCAACTTTACTTCCAAAATCGAAACAAGCCGCAACATAGAAGAATAAACATTAACTATTATTTTTGTCATTAGATAAAACCAACCCAATACTACAACTGATAGATAAGGTATCCATGGATATAACTAATCAACCCCTTCGTCTTGTGGATGGGCCTTTGACCGAAGGACTCTGGGACACTCCGCTCGATACTGCTGTGGATTCTTGCTGGTGTGAAACCCGGGCTGAAGACTTCTCGGGGACGGTAGATGGTGCGTTCCAGTAGTAGAGTACTTGACCAGCAAGTATAATGTTGAGGGTAAATCCAGCCACAAAGCCATAGAGTATGAGTTTATCGTCCACTTCCTGGAGGGTAGTGAAGATGCGAGAGAGGGATCCGAAAAGGTAGTTAAAAACCTAGACCAAAGCCGAGTTAGATATCGCGTCTCAGATAGCATATGACGGTGGAAAGTAGCAAATTGGAAATTTAGGTAAAGGTGCGCCTTACCGCAAAAGAGCTAAGCTGTCCAATGCCTCCCTGGTTCCAGATCGTATAGATTTGGGGGAGCTTGCTAGCAATACCCAATAATCCAGCTCCAGCTTGGAGGTAGCCGATAGTAGCCTGATCAACGATGGTCTCGCCACTAAACAGCAAGGCATAGACGATACCGATAACCGCAGCGACAAACGCTCCTGCGGAAGCTGTTTGGCCAGAAAATACCAAAACCAAGACGCTGACCACAATGTCCTGTACGGCAATCAAAGCAACCTCGCCATATGTACTGAAAGGAAATCCCTGGCGCGCATTGTAAGCAAGAGTGATAAGAAAGCTGGTCGTCTCAAGCGCGTAGGATGTGAAGGAGACTCCCGCTGCTGAGCGTGAGGAGATCAGCTTGAGAATCTGCGGAACTTTGACGATCGCACTGAACAATACGATGGCAATTCCAAGAGCTTTGGAGATTGCAAGCGGCAGACACTCTGGATCTTTTGTTATATCAAGGCCGAGGACGAGGGATGTGAAGCAGTTGGCGCCGAGTAGTGAGATGAGCGCGTCGTTCACGGGGGCAGGCAAAGATGTAGTGATTTGTCGAAGTAGGGGCTGTAGGGGGTTTATTATGCTTGACTGAATAATCTGTGGTAGCGACTCCATCTTGTCTATCCCGCTAATTCAAGCTCCTTGTCTGTTTAATGGTTGTAGATGCCGTTCGCCGTCGCCGTCGCCGTCGGTGTTGATGTTTTTTGACTTCTGGACAACTTCGTGCTTTGCAATGGCAGAATCCCAATTGGGTAAGGCGGCGAAAAGGAGGCTCATGCCAAGCAATAATCACGTGGTATTAGTTAGTCATGTTAGAGCTAAGCCCTTTTGGGGGCATGAATATCAAAAACTAAAACGCAAGCGACGTCGAGAAGAAAAGCGTTAAAGAACGAAGAATGGGCTGAGGGATGCCGGGTTCACCATCCGTTGAACAATCTTCAGCCTGGTGATGAGCCTGAGGGCGTTTTCCCTGCGGCCATGGGCCAAGTTGGAGCCGGGAGGTCGCTGCATGGGATGCATCTTGACTTTGAGAAACGGTCCTCCACCACAGCATGTCCAGCTACGGACCTTTGCAGGAGCAGTGAGATACTTGCAGAACGATACTCGATTATGTCCGCGATACCTACGGAAGTCATACTTTTCGTCCCATGACCCATTGACGTCCGGCGAGCTTAGACCTAAAACCTTCTTGCCGTGGTCACGGTCCGTCTCCTCTACGCAGCAGTCTGGGGTTCTCTTCAGTTCGAAAGCCCCTACCACATATACTTCAACCGATGAACCGATTTCAATACCACAGAGCACTGCGGAGGCAGTGCAAGAGCTTCCTCATCGACGGAGGCAGCGGCTAAAAGCCCAAGGCGGAACCAATTCCCCGGAGCAAGAGCTACGCCCTGATGCATCTTCACAGCTCTCGAGCATTTCTTCGTCATTGCCTAAATCTTCTTTGAAGGGAAAACTAGCAGCCTTTCTTGCCCTTACGAAGCCACGACTGTCCTTTTTAATCGTTCTGACAGCTACTACAGCATACGGTCTCTACCCGGTTCCTTCGATATTACATCTCGACCCAACCGTCACCCCTCTACCGACTCTCTCTACTTCTACGTTGACGTTTTGTTACCTGACTGTGGGAACATTCTTATCAAGCGCTAGTGCCAACACAATAAACATGCTTCTTGAGCCTAAATACGATGCCCTCATGTCTCGAACACGCAATCGGCCTTTGGTTCGAAAACTTATGTCTACCCGTGCAGCCGTGTTCTTCGCTATTGGAACAGCAACCGCTGGTCTTACTGCCCTCTATTTTGGCACGAATCCGACCGTAGCCGGCCTGTCAGCCGCCAACATTATCCTATATGGCTTTATATATACCCCATTGAAGCGGATCTCTGTCATTAATACCTGGATTGGGGCTGTGGTAGGTGGGATCCCCCCTCTAATGGGCTGGGCGGCTGCGGCCGGTCAAACAGCGATAACTGGCCATGATACCTGGAAGGATCTCTTGTTTGGGCCAGGGAGCGCGGGGGGCTGGCTCCTAGCTGGCCTCCTTTTTGCGTGGCAGTTCCCACACTTCAATGCCTTGTCTCATCTAATTCGGGACGAATACAAAAATGCCGGATATAAGATGCTTGCATGGACCAATCCAGCGCGAAATGGCCGTGTAGCTTTGCGCTACTCCCTCTTAATGTTCCCTCTATGTGCTGGTCTGTGGTGGGCTGGAGTAGTTGATAAGGGTTTTTTGATTGGCGGCGTACTCATCAACTCCTGGCTCACCAGGGAAGCCTATCGGTTCTGGAAACTTGAAGGAGCTAAGGGGACTGCGCGAGGCTTGTTTTGGGCGAGCGTGTGGCATCTACCGCTGTTAATGGTAGGCACACTTGCTGCCAAAAAGGGGATTTGGGACGGAGTTTGGAGTAGAGCCATGGGCTATGCAGAGGACGATGAAGACCTCGATGCTGAGGAAATTGAAGAGACACCTGATGTACTCCCTCCTCTGCCAACATCACGGGTCCAGACCCCATAATCTCCAATGTACCACCACCACTGTTTCCCAACCTTTTGTATAGTATGTGGAATTCTAGAAATGTAACTGCAAACCAGCACGCTTTTTATTTTATTCTATATGGACCCAGCCTTCTCCCGACGGGAACATGATCACCCTTGCCTATCATCTTCGCCCTTCAAGGACCACAGCCCCCCCTTCGCCCATCTCGCCATCCCCGTCTTGTCAGTTTTATATCGTCGTCCGCAGAGGCTCCAACAGCCCGCTTATGTCATCCACAGCCAGAACACGAAATATTGCCATATTGGGTCTAGCGCCAGTTCGTATTCAGCCTCAAGTTTTTAACCTTCGAAACGCTCAAAACATCAAAAGCAAAAAAGGAGCCAGAAGAAACGCAGAAAAAACACTGCCTCGCTGACCCACTGCCTTGTGTATTACTTGGAAAGATGATCCAAATAGGTGCACAGCCTTCCAGGATAGGGATCGCTGAAATTTATATATCGAGCCCTGTCTGGGGATATCGACTAGACTGATAATCTTGCTCCAAGAATTGCCCAATCTAGATATTCGTCGTATCAACATCAACAAGTTTGACCGACACACACTGTGGGGAGAACGTCTACTCGAAAGCACAATGCTAAATAACAATATCCAGCATCTATCCGCCCCCTCAGAATGTCATAATGGTCGGGAAAGCAATCTGGACCAACAGAAGGGGGTATTAGTGACCCCGTCACGAAAGATCGGCAACCAGGTGGTCTTTCGGATAAAGAACTGTACAGTTCCAAAGCGAACTCAGCGGCGAAATACCTCTTCTTCCGGCAGCGACCAATCGACCGGGAAGCCATGCGGTTCTCGAAAGTCCCATCGCAAATCTAGAGCTGGGTGTGGCAACTGCAAGAAGCGCAGGGTTAAGGTAGAAATCAATCTCCGGGCCCCCATACCTAGGCGGCCATGCAAAATGCATGTACATCCCAGGGATTACTGACAAAAACAACAATATCCAGTGTGATGAAACGCGGCCGCATTGCTTTAGGTGCGAAGCTTATGGTGTATCTTGTGATTACCTAGACCAGCAAGCGTTGGTACCTCTCACCGCAGGATCAGGTAGCCCTGTGTCTATCACTGGAAATGAATGTGGCTCTATAGACTCGGTATTTCACAATATGTCAAGGGCAGATCTTGCCGCGCGAGTCACATCCGCTCTCCAACTAGGGTCAAAGACCAAGATTCGGCCCTTGACGGCTGATTCAAAATCAATAATTGCCCTTCATCATTTTCTAAATACCAAACATGACAACACTCCACTCACTGATGCTGGAGAGAAAGTTGTGGCAACAAAAATGCTACCTTTGGCGTTCAAGGTTGGTGCATCTACTTCTCCCTTGTGTGTTTGATCTGATCTTGTTTGTTAACTCGACACGTGGGAAGACGCCGTATCTCATGCATGCTATTCTTGGTACTGGTGCCACCGCTATAGCTGACCAGGCCAATGGTGACTCTTCATACAAAGTTCTGCATGCATATCACTGGCAGCAAACCCTTAGACAATACCAGGAGGAAATTCGAACTAGCATTGGTCTCCACAATATGGATGGTCTAATGTCTACATGCATGTTCATGAGCAGCATTACCTTCGTCGGCGCTGACCCCGATTATACCAAATCATGGGTTTTTACCAATAACCCTGCAGATCTTAACTGGCTTCTCATCCAAGGAGGATTACGCTTTCTCCTCATGCACCTCAGCCGTTACCTTGAACATAGCATCTGGTATGAGGTTTTTATGGAGTCTTCAGACGAGGAATTGTTTGGTGACCATAGGCCGGGAAAGGTGGGCCTGCACCCAGAGCTAGCTGAAATATGCGGAATAACGGATACAACTACCGAAGATGATAACCCTTGTCTCTGGCCTCTGAGAATGCTTACCCCGATTCTTAAGCTTGAACATAACCGGGAAAATTTCTTCAAGATCTTAGGTTTTATGGGGAGACTGCTACCGGACTATACGAATAAACTACTTGCTAAAGACTCCAGTTGCATGATTATACTCGCATATTGGCTCGGGAAGTTATGCGAACGGCCTGATACCTGGCTATATTCCCGAGCTCAGATTGAATGCTATGCACTCTGTGCATACCTGGAAGCACTCGGAGATCCAAAGATCCTTGAACTTTTGGAATATCCTGCTAAAAGATGCGGCTATGTACTCGGTCGGCTTGCACCGGTTGATATTTTAGACGAGTTAACCATAATCCCCATGATATAATTAATAGCCAATGAAAGGGCACAATTTGCAGATATTAGTTACCCCATACGCCAATATAGCATTCATCTTTCCGATAAATACATACTGTCCATGCAAGGCCTTCAAATAAGATTATGGTCACATTTCTGATATGTCACAACGCTAATGGATTATATTGTTCGTTTCTCATACCTTCATGATTCTTCATAAGATAGCCGAAGCAGATATAAATACGTAACATCGTCAATAAGGTCGAGATGAATATATCCTCCCAAAACAAACAAAATCAGGAAAATAAAAACATCAACGTACATTCAAAGAAGAAAAGACGATTTTATGTTGGCCAAAGACCCAAACAGAAGGACAGAAAGCAACCACAAAGACCTAACATGAAAAGGGGAGGATGGAAAGAAAGGTGTCCTTCTCGAACTCTCTCAGGTATGAATAGGTGTAAAACGCTCACCTACAACGGTCCTGGCTAGCAGAAACCCGCGATTTGGATATAACCCAGGCTTCCCAAATCTTTCGCTGCCGATAATCCACCGTTCTCCCGTCATCTTCCAAGTCATCAGCTGGAATAGAGCTTAGAACCTCCCACTGGTTGGTGAAAGGCGGTAGAAGCAACGGAGCAGACAGAGAATTGTCTGGTATCAATTCTATTTGGTTTGCTCTAGGTCCAACATCACCATTATGAGAACTGAGGCCGTCTGATTCATCGCCGAGACTGGTATTATCATCATCATCGTCTCCATTGATATTATGATAGTTGCCTGGGACGTATGGTTCAAACATCTCATCATCCTCACTATCCGAGTTTGGAAACGACTGGATATCGGATATGTCTGCGCTTGTAGCCCATTTCTCGTCAAATGCGTTTGAGTAATCAATCCGACGTAGACTGACCCACTCAAGGTTTTCCATTTCGTCGTGGAGCATGGATAAGATGTCTTTCCACATGCTTCCCTCCTTTAGCAGGACATCACGAAGGCGAAGGCCACGGAGAGATCTGCGGTGCCGTCGAGCAAAATTAATAATCTCTTCTGAGTCAAGTCTCCAGGCTTGGATACCAAATGCACGGAGCCTTTCCCAGTGCACGTTATGGAATATATCTTCCAGGTGGAGGTCTAACGGTAGCCGAGATGGGAACCCTAGGTGAATAGCTTCCATATTTTTAGCTGCCGTGAATAAGGTCTTGAAGACTTCCGAGAGCTCCCTCATCTCTGCATTAACATATCTCATTGCATCAAAATGAATCTCAAGGCATGTCAACTTTGTTGCAAGGGCAGAAAGAAGTTGCACGGGTGCCCTTTTCAGTGTAAGCGTAGCCTGGGGGTTGATCTGTGGGCCCGAGAAGCGATTTGCAGGAGATCCAGCCTCCAACAGTGCTAGACCAACGTTTTGAATGGCGCGAATGCATGCAGGATTCCAATCCACAACTACTAACGGGTCCAACGGATTATCATGCCTATCAATGAACGATCGTAAATCACGCTCAGCTTCATCTTGGACCCTCAAGATCTTCACGTGTTGAAGAGATGTGAATGATTTCATTGCTCTTATAAGGGAGTTCAAATCCTCATTTGACGAGACCAATCTCTTCTGTTCTTCAAGACGGTGGATATGTTCGGCCAGATTGAGTTTGCTTGAATCGGCCGTTGAAAGCAGCTGGGGTATATTATCTCTTCCTGTAAAATAAAAGGGTCCGTGAGCATTTCCGCAAAACAAGATACGAATTGATAACAATACAAAAAGGACAGGCATTCAAAAATTTACCTTCTACATAAAATGACCGGATTATATATGTAAAGGTTCTTGCATGTCTTGCCAGGTGCGGAATGCTTGACAGCTGGTCAAGTTTCTTAAACGCAGGTTCTGAAAACCGGACGACAACCCGACTAAACTTATGAGCTGCACCAACTTCTGAAAACCGCTTGCAAACCTCTCGAAATCGGTCAACATCGCTGCGGAGATCTTCATGATACCCATTTTTGCCCTCTAGCCACAAACGCGGGGGATCCGGCTGGCTCGGTCTCCTAACGCTCTCGAAAGAAAGATATGCGCGGTGGTCAACACTGGTGCATCTTTCTGGGTCCCGTGTGAGATGATCCAGTATTTCCTTCAACAACTCATTCGAGAGGCGCAATATGCCTTTGGGCTCGTTATCCATTGTACCGTCTTGCGCGTCACTTCCCCCCTTTTGCCAACAGCTTTCTTCTTTTTTCTCCTTCCTGTCCTTTTCCCTGCTGTTTCAGGATCGATGTAAATTCCGAGTCATTAGCTTGCTGGATGGGTAGAGGGAGGACAAATTAAAAGTTGGTCCAAAGGATAATACCAAAGCACCAAATATATCAGAGATGGAGAGGGATGGATCAACAGCCTGGCAAGTGCTAGGGTTACTGGGTCATATGGCACAATATGGAATCACGAGATAAATTTCCAGGAACACCGATCACTGCAGCTTGTGTTGGAGCGGAATGCTTGGAGTGCTTGAAGATCGATGACAGCCTGTAATGGGGTAATTGGTACCAATATAGAGTATATATAGTAAAAAATAGAGCTGGAAATGAGGCGATCAAGAACGCCGAGATGATATATAACTACACCGTTTCAGCTTGGATAAACAGATTCCAGTCGCAAGGGCGATAGTTGGGCAGGGAGAGACGCATGGATATAAAACCGAACAATTCCAAGCGACAACCTCCGTACTCCTGGCCCCAATGTTGTCAAGTAGGATTGACAGACGTGTGCATGATCAGACAGGGCTCCCTTTACCTTTTTTTCTCCCTCTCGTTTCGTTTCTTTTTCCCTCCTGGTTCTCTCTTCTGTCCCTCTTGTGGTTTTCTTTTCTTTTTTGCTTTTCCTGCTGTCTGTCCACTTTTCGGGTGCTTTCCTTCATGACTGCAGGTCGTCTGCACGTAGGGCAGGCGGGAGAAAAGGAGGACTCGCTGGCCCAATCCTGGACTCTCCTCACCCACCATCAGGTCACATGACCGAAAAAGCTACCAGCAGATCCCCAGCCAGCAGCGGCAGCAGGGCGGGCCGCTGCGAATCGTGAGCGAGCTGAGAGGGGACAGGCACAACCAGAGAGGTGGCGCGGCTGTAACGGACGAATCGTCTTTGAGGGAGCCCTCCTGTCGGCCCATGGAGCTTCTGCACTTCTCGTGTTTGGACTCTTCTGCACAGCTCAATCCCTGGACGATGCACAAGCCAAAACTCCTGCAACGGCAGACATCCCCGCTGGCAATTTCACACGAAACAAGCGAATCACGGTGGCATTTGAACCGAATAAAGACGGGGACGTTGCTGGGGTCTCTGGGAACCCGGCCTGGACCAGCGCCACCGGGATCAGGATATATAAACGAGTTGCTATAACCAGAGGTGGGAAAACCACGGAGGCAGAGCGTGTTTCTGTTAGCGCCAGCTGCCACGTGAGATGGAGGAAACTAGTTAGACAGCGTGGCTTGTCTCGTAACTTGACTGATGCTTGATTCTGCTGTAGCCTTGTTTGATTTGATACCTCGATTGCCGCTTGAAGGCCAGATGAAGTTGATGATAACTAGTTAGTTGGCTGGCGGCAGAACTCAAGGCGGTCAGCCTTTTTGGGATAAAACGACTTCATCTTCAACGTCAAACTTCAACTTCACATCAATTACGAAATATCAACATCAACTATCACTACAGCTACCACTGCTGCTGCTGCTGCTGCTGCTGCTACGATGATGCATGATGTGGGAATACAAGATGTCTACTCCGTACAGTGGCGAGACTGATGATGGGACCGGCCATGCAGCTAATTCGTGAAGTGATCATCCCAAACATGCAGCATACCCCTGGAAAGGGCACGCCGACTCAGTTCCGTCTAGTTCCTTTCAGTATACCGGACATCGAGAGCCAGCAGGTCCGGATGGCGCGTTTTCGTAAGCGGGACGACATACGCTGCCTCGACAGTACTCCGTGTGGACACGCGAAGTACGAACGGCATGAGGGATGCTAATAATAGGCGCTGGGATCAGCCGGTACTCATTCGACTTTCGCCAATCTTGAGATCTCCATTGCAGTGGCTACAAACAGTTGCATTAACCCTGCGCTTCGCCTTTACCAGGACTTGAGGCTTGTCCTCAGACAGGGTTGTGGTGCGAGATTGGCTAGTTATCAAGGCGAAGAGCGGCTGGTTCTTGGTACATGCTTATTTTGTGTTGAGGCGCATACACAAACTCGACTCCCAACCAATAGCCACGAGAAATCTTACCTATATCTCAGTGATATACCCTTCAATGCAATCCTTCTCTGATTCTGCCCCTGGTAGCTGACCTCTACTACCTCAGCTCCATGCCAAATATTTCTGGATGGCATTCCTGTTGGTCCTATCCCGGACACCCAGTAGCGAAGCTACCTGTGATGCTGAACGACACGGCATCAATAAACGAAAATGGGAGCCAAATATTGAACCAGAGTGCTAAGATCGTACTCTCAAAGCGCAGAGAGTGGGGTTGCACAGACTGCAAGCAAGTGACAAGCAGCAGTGCAGTCCCTGGCACTTCGCCCAAATCACGAGCATTAAATCACTTCCACAAGTTGCTGGATAGCTCGTCGTGATACGTCCATACTGCATGCTAGCAATCCATGTCCGTACAGACTTAAAAGAGGGTTAACCATATATTTACATTTTCCTTCTATGTCAATGCATCCTGACCAACCCCCCTCGGCTTGCCACCTCTATGTCATTCCCCCTTCTTCCCCCTGGAAGGCTGTGCTCCCCCCCCCCTAGCCCCCGCCTTCTCCGGTGATATGTCGTGTGAGATATATCGTCATACTCTCTAGTCCTACTCATACCACATCCATCATTGTGGCTGCATAGCACAGCTGGTGTGGCTACTAGCTACTGCTCCGAATCTACGAGGTATCGATGCCATCTCACCTTGCAAGACCTCGTTAGTTTGTCCTAAAAGAGCCTTTTCCAGCTTCCTTCGTGAAAAGATAGTCGCCATTACCTGACTCTGGTCACATCCTAGTCTGGATGGCGCAAACCCCCCTGTAATCACAGCGCTTACTTAAAAACAATAATCTAGGGAGTCCCGGTCACCCACCATCTCGGATTGTTTCAGCTTCAGAATAAATAAACATCCGCTCTCTCTGATGCGGACTTTTTTTTTGTTTCTTTCTACTCTAAATATAGTCTCATCCACGTTGATGGTCAAATCTCTTCTCAAATAGGTCAACGTTAACGCCTTCTTTTCACGATTGCATGGTACCTAAGTCGCTGCTCAATCTCGAACCAGCAACTGTTACATAAACATCGTTTCTACCCCTACAGGGTTATCGATGTACCTCCGGTAACTATGCCTGTTTGTTTATCGGAGCCTTTTTCTTTTGTGCTTTGTGGCTATCAGTGCAGTGTTCAAGGAGAAGGCAAATAAACCATTTGCACTATTGAGTATACTTTATTTGTTTTTAGCATACTCTCCTCCAGGGCCAACCAGTTTGAAGGTCCGGGTTCCCCTGCGTATTGAACAGGAGTATGTTTTCTACATGTTATCGCGATTACGTACCTTGTCAGATTGCAAGTAGCTAATTCATGAGAAATCAGGATTCTAGCGGGTCAGGCACGCAATTCAATGCTTAACTGCATCAAGCCGCGATTTGTCCAACGTACGGAGAGGACGCACTGGAATATGCAGTTCGAATCAACACCCAAAGTTATCCCTTTTAAGAAATAACGTCCGGAAAAAAGGCAGTTTTTGTTTGCTCAAACACGCTCGACTTCTCATATTCAGCTCTCCGGCGGCTAGGGTCTCTAAACCTCAAGCAACTCGTATAACTAGTTAGTCAACTAGTTAGGTCGGATACGCCAAGGCTCAGAGAGATGGGAGCAGAGTTCTCATATCCAGTCTGTCTGTCCCGCGTGTATTAATTATGCTCGCCCTTATTAGCATACAAGAAATACCTTAGATCCACAGTCAAAGGTCAAACAAATTGTCCTGATGCATATCGCAACAGGTAGGGAAACCAATTGATGAAAGCGTGTGCAGAGGAATTCCATCAATTGTAACAATTTTTTTTTCTCATAGATTTCTTGCTAGGTGATGGTATTATGCTGCCATTAAAGAAGTGATTCTTCGCATTCTCTGGTTCGCTGAAGCTGGCATTCTACATCGCCATGGGTTATCCCCCCTTAGCCAGCAGGTTACCGTGAAAAAAAAAGGGGGGGGACGCAAAGCAGGAAACACATCGCTTTCACATCCCCCCAAGTGTTGTAAGATATATCCCAGCACAACTTGATATCAGACGAAGCAGCTAGCCTCACTTACGTGTCGTTGAGTCGTGCCGCAGTTACCCGAGTCATGTTTAGACGTGTCCCAATGGCCCCCACCAACTGCAGGTAAGGGCATGTCTTCTTCATGTAGGCGTGTACTTGGCTTGCAAGGAGAAGTGATGTGGACAAAGCATATTGCTGGAAACCCACAGACCAGCAGCAAGTGTGTCTCCATCGTCATCAGCCTCTGGTGAATGAACTACGTGGCCCTGGAGCAGCAGCTCATGATATGGGCGGCATATGTGACTGGTATACCCCTGAATTAGGAGTTACTTCCATGCCAGATCACCATTTTTTTTACCTGGGTTCCATACTCCGTGCCTAGGTAAATGCAATTGATAGCAGGGATGGGCAAAACTGGAGGAAGATGTGCATTGATCCGCTTGCAACATTCGTCTAGACTCAAGGGGGGCGGTACTTCTTGAACTAACACGTACAGACTCTTGAGGCCAAGTTTCTCAGCGAATAGCAAGGTGTGAAGCACGTCATCGCGAGATGGATTTTTATGCGAAATTAGACTTACGACCAATTGACCATCGAAAAAACGTTTCCCAGCATAACTGTTTGCAACGCTGGCCGTTAGCCACCCCTGCATGGCAAACATGGGAGAAGGTGGTGTGCCATGCCATGCAGCCGCTGCAGGCGTCAACTATGACAGGAACAACTCCTAGCGTTTCCAGGATCTACTACGAGTCGACAGAGGGAGGAGTCTACATATAGAACTACCAATCGCTATCAGGGGTGTAAATATTCTCATGCAGGAGAATTGGAGACCAGGGGCATACGACGCAGAAAAGAGGCGAGAACAAGTTTCTTCAGGGGCATGACATTCATGAATAATAGAGAGGTGTGGTGTAGGTATCAGCATATGACTACGTACATACAAGGGAAACTGCCAGTAAGGGAGAAGCATTTGCGTTGGCAATCCGGGATACTCAGAGACTGCTCCCCTTGGCGAGGTTCATTCGCCGCCGCCTGATCTCGGTGCTTGATATCTTGGATTCGAAGCTGTCTTCTGAAGCTGATACAGCAGCATCAGCAGTATCCAGAACATCGACTTCAAAGACCTCGAGAGCCGACCATCCTTTCTTCAGACGTTCATTATTGACGGCTTGGCCGCCAGAACGAGTTTCCTTTGATACTACCAAGGCAGTGATGTCGGGGTCTGTGATCGTGGGCCCGAACGGGTCAGCAATCTGGACGAACCTAAACTCTAAGTCTGGGGACAAGGAGACGATGGCCCGTCTACCATTGGGCCCAGGCTCGTATTCACGCATAATGTCCACGGTACTGGAAGGGGAGAAGTCGATGATAGACTGGAGGAATCGCCAGACGCCCTTCCAGCGGTGTTCCCAGGACTCTAAGAATTCAGCATATTTCTTGTTCACCAGCAGCTCATCGCCGGTGATACCGACGGTAACAACTCGCTTTCCCTGACCGTCCGGCCATGCAGGCTGAGATAGAGATGGACACGTATCTAATGCCAGCACGGTTGCAGTAAGAAGTAGTTTATGTCCGACATGTAGGTGGTCAAAGGTCCCTCCCACGGCGACAGAAGAATGCGCCGCAGCAGTGGGCGGAGCTGTCCCTTGGTCCAAGACGAGGCCGGTTGACGGCTTCTCTCCTGATGTCTTCAGGTTCAGGGTACGGACATCTGCTGTCTTTATCCTGTCATTAGCGGCTTCTCTGGCAGAGAGCATGGCTGAAAAGGATACTGCTCTCTCACAGCCCGATGTCAGATAAACCGTATCCCACGACCTGTTAGACTGCATCAGGCTCTTGACATCAATTAGGGGACCGTAAGCGCATGCATCATCACCGGCCTGTCCGTCCAGGTCAACGAAGAAGACCCTGGCATCGACGCCTCCGGGTCCGTCCAGCTCGACCGAGGCAGCAACGCTGACGGCAGCCAGCAGCCGGTAGACATCAACCAGAAACCGCTGCAGCAGGTCGAAGGGCTTCCCCTTACCGCAGACAGAGACGGCTATGTCCAGCACTGCCGGCCAGCTGTCCTTATCGTCTCTTGAAGCGGCCGCGAGGGCCTGCAGGATAGTTGATAGAGCATGGCCGCAGGTCTCCCTCAGTGCTGCAAAGGCCAACGGGGTATCAGTGAGCAGCAGCAGAGCTGAATGACGACCGTCCATCTCTTCGCGTCCTCCTCTTCGTCGCTTTCCGTCCGGTCACCCTCGTCGTCTCGTCCCTTGCTTGCGTTGCGCTTCTTGCGCCGCCAAAAGTCGAAGAAGACGCTGAAACCAGCCGCGGGTTGGACTTCGTCTTAGTCAGCGTCACCGTCAGACGTCAAAGGGCGAAGTTGAGCGACGAACGAACGAACGAACGAACGACGAGAGAGAAGGCAAACATCGCGAAGGACGACGAGCCAGACCAGCGCACGACGAGAGACGCAGGAAGAACCGGCGATCGACCAGCGGGAGACGGCGAGACGAGGCGGACAAGCGGCAAAAGGACGCTGTTTACTCCCTCTCCCCCTTTCAGCGGCGCCGGGCTGCCCTCCGCCGCCATCGACATCGAACCTACCTAGCATACGCCTGTGACTCTACCACCCCCTACGGCTGCGCGACTCCTACGACTCTGGCTCTCAGTATTATGCCCGTATCGTGGCCACTAAACGCCAGAGTCCCTGCTGCTGCATGCTGGTCAGCTTCACGACAGCAGACGAAGGGCGGTATTCGTGCCCAACCGAACCATGGCCGAGCCTAGTATACCATTCGATGGCCCCCGCAGCAGAGCGCCTACGTTTCCACGGCAGCCAGAGGAGCTGCATATGCCCTCAGCGAACGCCTCTTCGAAGCCGCAAAATGAGCAGCAGCAGCAGCACAGCTCGATTCCGCCGCTGTTGAGCATCCAGCAGCAGCCGGGTCCCCAGCAGCAGCAGCACCAGAATAATGCTCTCCCGGGAGCCCTACAGCCTGGTCCTGCAAGCCGCCAGGGACAGCCTTCTACGACACATCACAATAGCAGCAACAACATACACAACTCGTCTTCCTCGTCCGGAGTGCCCTCGCAGCTAGCGGTGCCTATGACCCCATCGAAACAGTCGTCTATGAGCCAGCTGCAGTCCTATCCCTCCAGCCCAGGAGTAGATCAGCAGCGATACCAGCATCACCAGCAGCAGCAACAGCAACAGTCCAGCATGATGTCCCCGTCCGGACAGTCATCGTCGACGCCGTACTCGCCGCTCGGGCTAGCAGATATACGCCCTCACATGGATCTGGGCCGGATAGACGACTCGGCCGGCTCGTCCACCATCCACAACGGGGACATGCACACACCCAAGAACAGCAGCTATCTCGCTCCGTGGGCGTTGTATGCGCTGGACTGGTGCAAGTGGCCCGCGGCGCCAAACACCAATTCGGCGGGGAAGATTGCTCTCGGAAGTTATCTAGAAGACACCCACAACTACGTATGTTCTACGCGCCTAACTTATAACCTGTATATGTGCTAACACCAATGTAGATCCAAATACTTCACGCGCAGACGGCTGAGCGGGACTACAATGATCCCGACAACGATCCGGGGCTGGAGTTTGTGAAGACCGCGGAGGCAACACACTCCTACCCGGTTACTCGCATCCTCTGGGAGCCGCCATCGTCGCAGAAACAGTCGACGGACCTGCTGGCCACCTCTGGCGACCATCTCCGGCTCTGGTCGCTACCCTCGAACCCCAGCCAGCCGCAGTACTACGGCAGCAACTCGATCAACCGGATGAGCGCGAGCAACAAGAGCCCTCCGCCGCTGCAGAAGCTCTCCCCGCTCGCTCTCCTCTCTAACTCCAAGACCCCCGAACACACAGCGCCCATAACCTCGCTAGACTGGAACGCTGTCTCCCCCAGTCTGATCATTACCTCGAGTATAGACACCACCTGTACGATATGGGACATACCCACTCTCACTGCAAAGACGCAGCTCATTGCCCACGACAAGGAGGTGTACGACGTCCGGTTCTGTGCAAACAGCGTAGACGTCTTTGTTAGCTGCGGTGCAGACGGCAGCGTGAGAATGTTTGATCTCAGAAGCCTAGAGCACAGCACCATCATCTACGAACCATCGGAGAAACACGATAAGGGTAAGTATACAACCTGTACTGCATTATAATGATATAATGTTTTTAACGTTCTCCTAGGGAGCCCCGGAGACCTCTCTCCCGGCCAATCTTCCATATGGCCACCACCACTCCAACGCATTGCAGGTACGTTATCATATATATATATACATATGTATATCAACATAAATAAAGAACAGGTAGACTGAGTATATTTTTAGCATCACCACATGATGCCCACCTACTGGCGACGTTTGCCCAGGACTCCAACATCATCCGGGTGCTGGACGTCCGCCAGCCGGGCCAGGCACTGCTTGAACTCAAGGGCCACGCTGCGCCCGTAAACTGTCTGGAATGGTCTCCATCCCGTCGAGGCACGATAGCCACGGGGGCAGACGACTCGCTGGTCCTGATCTGGGACCTCATCAACCAGAACAACGCTGCGGCCTTGCCACTGCCTCCTCAGCAGCCACAGGGCCTTCACTCCGGCGGCAACGGCAACAGCAGCAACTCTGCCGCGGCCTCGACCAGCGGCAACGGGCCGTCGACCCTCGAACGAGGTCCTGCCGCCGCCTGGCGCTGTGACTATGAAGTGTCGAACATCAGCTGGGCGCCTCACATTCCTGCCACCGGCCCGGGCAGAGACTGGGTTGGCGTCTGCGGCGGAAGAGGGCTCTGGGGAGTGTCCATATAAAATCTTCTTCGTCTCTTCTATTCATCTCTCCCTGTCTCTCCCTATCTCTCCCTATCTCTTTCACTCTGTCACCCTTTATCATCACTTCTCTTCTACTGATCTACACCTACTTTTGGCCATGGTTATTATATTCTTTGGAAGTGTGGAATCAAAAGAAATCAAACAAGAAACACACGGGGCAGGATGGCTTCGATGTCTGTATCTATGTCTAACTATCAACTATGAATCTTCTTCTCTTCGTCGATTGGGGTGGGTTTTCAGGGGGGGAGAAGGGCTGCTTGAAGATTGATACTGTGCTATATACTCCCCTTATACCGGGTCAATAATATCTCCATTCGTCTAGTCTTCACATCTACGTCTCTGCTATCGCGTCTATCTACATCACTGTCCATGATCCAATGCCAATATCTAACTATATATCTGGAGCTGCGTCTCTTTAAGGCCCGCCGTCTCCAAGCTCAACTCCCCCCTATCAACTGCCCCCTATCAACAACGCCGTCTTCCACCACAACCAGCGGCTGCTCGTCGCCCTCGCTCTCTTATTCTTCTGCTCGCTGCCGCGCTTCGCATTCGTCTCGTCTCTCCCGGCGGCTTCTATCACTTCTCCCTCCCCCATGGCCCATCCTGGCCCGGAAAAAGAAAAAGTCCTTCTAGAAGTCTTGAACTTCCAACAAAAAAACCACCAACTCCTCTTTAACGAACTCCAACCCTCCCTCACCCCCAGGATCCCGACTGCGCGCGCCGCCTGAAAAGACGCCCTTCGATCATGTCGCTGCCTCGCATCTGATCCCGCGGCCTCTTCTCCAGACACCATGGACCTCAGGACCATCATCAACACCGACTCGGCCGTGGGCGCGGCCCGGGGTCCGCAGCTACACCAGCAACCACCACCATCACAGCAGCATCACCAGCATCACCAGCAGCAGCAGCAGCAGCAGCGTACACAGCGGCCGCTCTCGATACACTCGCTGGGGCCGGACGAGCCTCCGCTGCGCAGCGGCAGCGTCCACGATGAGCATCCGCCGCAGCACCACGAGTACGGCGGCGGCCCGGCTGGCGGACGGCCGTCGCAACCGCTGCAGCCTCCTCTGCAGTCCCCCAAGCGCATCTCAGTGCCGTATATGGGCTCGACTGCCCAGTCGCCGTACCAGCAGCCGCCGCTCGCCTCGATCCTGACCGGCAGAGAGCCCGGCGAGCGCGCCAGCAGCGTGCTGTCCGTCCCGCGAGAGCCATACTCGGCCTCCTCGCTGCCTCCGCCCTCTGCGGCCTCGCTCTCCTCGCCCTTCACGCCCCAGCCGACCAGCGCCGGCACCCAGCACTCCTCCTACTTCTCCCAGCAGCGCTCTCACTCGGTCCATTCGGCTGCCTCGCCGTCGTCGGTGCGCAGTCTCTCCTATCCGTCTGGCCGTGAGCCTTCAGGCCACCCTTACTCGCCCAGCCAGCAGCACCAGCAGCAGCCGCAACTGCAGCAACTACAGCAACATCACCAGGCATTCCATCCCCAACAGCCGCCGCCGCAGCAGCAGCAACAACAGCAGCATTATCAGCAGCAGCAGCAGCAGCAGCAGAGATCGCAGCCAGGGACACCTCTTGCGCCTCCAGGATCTTCCTACCGTCGACCATCCCCCCATCCGGTCCGCCCCCCGTCTTCAGGCCACGATGCTCCCCTGTCGGCTCGTCTGGGAAGCCCCTGGGGCAGTCAGGATGCCTCCTCTGGTGGCCAGAGAGACGGCGTGTCTCCAACGGTGCATACGCCCATCTCACGGCATAATTCAGTAGCTACGGACTCTTATCCCCGGCAGTTCTCCATGGAACGGGAAAAGGAGCAGCACCTCGATAGTGTCAGCCCAAAGACCATCGTTTCTCAACAGGGAGCCGCCCCGTATGGTGATATCAACGCCAGCAACGCCATCAATAGAGACAATGCCATTGGCAGCAACCATAGCACACTCAATCAATCCGTCCAGACGCCCCATAAGGACCCGGAATTGGCCCAGCAAACAACTCACCAGCCGGGACTGGAACATCAAACCCTTCCTCCCACCACTGCCCGTCCGTCCTATCCTCCTTCAACTCCACAGACCGCATCCATCAGTAACATAACAAACTCAGCTACCACTGCCTCTGGCTCGCCTACCAGTCGTCGTCCGGTCCAGGAAGCATCACCAACACTCCAGCACCACCCTTTCCCCCCTAAACAACCTCTGCACCAGCCGCGCTCCAGCATCTCTGCAGCTCCAGGGCCCTCTTCCGCTTCAGAACGTGTCCCAATGTGCCCCCCACGGAAGAAACGCAAGAGATACACCCAGCCTCCTATATTCGCCTGCAAGGCTCCTAGAACTTCCGGCACTCCTCCCCCCATCCCTCCCAAGGGCAGCCAGGCGCTAGCTCAGCCTCCACCCTCCTCCGTTTTTCCAGGTAAACGACCGTTACCGAAGCGTGAAAGCCTCGACCGGAATCTCACTTCAGACTCGCTTCCTCCGCGACCTTCAAGGGATGCCGACATGGCGGTCAATGGCAATGCAGTCAAGGAATCAGCTGCAGATAACCCCTTAGGACCTTGGGAGCCTACGATCACAAATGTCATCCCGTCAGAGGAACTGACCAAACTGATATGTGATTTCTTGTTTCAACAAGTTGTCATGCGCAAAGATATCGGCGCTGGTCCAGCTGGGGGTATGGCTGTTGGGTCGGGAGCCATCCTCGAGGTCGAAGCCAAGTTAGGCAGACTGATAGACAAAAGTCGGGGTGAGAGACTGCGTCTTCCCATCCTCTCAGAAACTGTCATCAGCAAGGACGACCCCAATCTGAGGCTGGCCTTTGAAAGTTCAATGTCACAGGTAATTTTCATTTTTTCCCCTTATTTTCCCATCGCTTATATATATCTCAGTACTAAATATATATTTTTTCTCTCACTATCCAGGCCCAACACCGGGCGATGAACAACTTCCTCAACGAGGCGGTCAAAACATCCATATCCCAAGGAACAGCACGCATCCCGCTCGCCTACGCCCACAAACGTGAGCGAGATACTTTCTACGACATCTCAGCCAACGACCTCCCTCCAATTGTCCAACATCATCTACACCCACGCCATAAGCCCAGGGTGAGGGTCACCACAGACGTGCGCACAGGAGCCGTCATAGCCCGTATCGTCAAATGCCGTATTGCCGACCTAGACGTTTACAGTCCGCGAACGTGTCTTGACTGGCGCATCAGTGTGAACCTCGAAATGAACTACGACGGAGACCTAACCAAGTTGCAGCAGACAAGCGACTGGAAACGAAGCGGTGATCGAAACAAAGACCGCATGAGTTACAGACATCTGGCATACCAGATAGACCTAACACAGGTCGGAACAACAGACGTACTTCTTCCTTTCCCCAGCTGCTTTGTGTCATCGAATATCTGTCTAACCGTACAATAAATATATAGAGCACCCCTGCAGACTTCGAGCATGAGCTTGAAATCGAAATATCTTCAGCGGAAATCCGACGGCAAGGTGACCTCGCGTTATCCGGAGACATGAACAACCAGTACGAAGACCTCATCAAAGGATTTGTAGACAATATCCGTGTTCTTGCCAGGGCCGTGCCAGGCTAGCCAATTATTGATGATGATTATATGCTTGCAGCCTAGCATGAGGAGAACCGTTCAAGTGAGAAGAAGGGGTTAGAGCGAGAAGGAGAAAACAACCGATTTCTTACTCATCACTTTGTTTTGCCTTTCTTTTTTATGATGACTACCATTAATTTGATACCATGCAGCAGCATTTTTAGTTATAGCATTCAATAGCCTTTCCTGTACTGTATTATTTCCAACCTACTCATAACTAGATTGGGAGAAGGAGGATACCTGCTAAAAAGAAAACTGATTAGTTTATTATCTTCCACCTATCCTCAGTATATCTGGTCCGGTTTTTGATGAATATATCCCTAACTGATTGGAGTAACAACGACTTTTAAATTTCCTTGAGGAGTAGATCTGTATGTGTATGTATATGTAGGGACTCTAATTCAGACAGTCATGAGCGTGAGCTTGGGCTCCAGAGAGAAGGAAAGAGAAGGAAATAATAATATTGACAGGAAAAATGAAATAAACCGTACATGTCTCATGGGAAATCAAAATCAAAATCCAACAACTATCTAAAAGAGAAAAGCAAATACCAGAGCAAATCACACGTCCAGGGAGTTATAAAAAAAAAAAAAGAAAAAGAAAAACAAGTTAAGAGGGGGAAATACGCGGGTAGATCAAAACCAAATCCGCGAGAAAACTCCAGAACGGCTGCAGGACATAAATAAAAATAGGTAAATAATAAAGATGAAGGGACATGGTCAATATATCAAGTTGTGTCGAAGTCCATACAGAGGAACGTATTACTTTTGTAAGTTCCCTTCATTCCGTCCATCCTGTACTCCTTGACAGGAAAAGGTAAAGGGGAATAGAAAGCCGTTAAAAGGAGGATGGTTCGTAAATAAAACAGAGAGTATATGGCGTGCTCCATGCGTGCGGAGAGTATAAAGTATTCCACGGGTAGTGAAACAAGTCCCTGAGAGAAAGACAGTCGATAAAGATATCAGGATATGCCTAGTCCCATTTTAACGGGTATAACTCCAGTATTCTGGTCCTGGGTATCGGTAGTGCTAGCGCCTCTCTCTCTCATTCGTCTTCCTTCCATAAGTCCTCTAAGACCACGCTTCTGCAAGCCAACAACGCTGCTGATATTAGCCGTCCAAACATCTCGGCTGACCTTCATTCGGCCGCGTTGGTCATGCTGTGCTAGCTCGGCCTCGGGATATCCTAGACCACCGCCACTATTGCTGGTAGATGCAGAGTTGGGTATACTAGTGTTTTCAGCTGATTCGGCGCGGTTCCTACCGTTACTAAAGTTGGTGTTGATACGTAGGTTTGCGGGTCGTTGAGAGCTTGAGGAACGTCCTGCGGTGCCGCTAGAGACAGAGGCAGTGCTGCTGGCGGTGTTAGGTCTGTCTATGGATTCGGCGTCCGATGAATTAAACGAGCTTATGCCGTCTGCCGCTGTGCTTGGGCGACGGTAGTCTGCTACGCTTGACTGAGAGCGGGAGTGCGAGTGGCTGTATGAGCGGGAATGTGCGTCGTGGAGAGAATCCATAGTTCCGTCAAATGCGAGCGCAAGGTTGGTACCGCGGCCTCCACCAGCAGCCATGGCGGCAGCGTTGAAAACAGCAGCAGCGTTGCGGCCATCAAGGACTTGGTGCAGGCGTTCCACAGTGGCTTCCAAAAGGCCATCAACCTGGTACGGTCGAGCGAGTTGAAGGAGGGAGCAGAGGATTTGAGGCGTACAGAGTGCAGAGCCTACGGGGGGAAGAGAAGAGGTGTAGAGATAGTGAACTAGAAGCTGAATGGTGAGGTAAGTGTGAGGTAAATAGAGAGTTCGAGGCCGTACGGCTGGTGGGAGGCTGTGTGCCGATGGGATATCAAGATGAGATGCTCGGGATAGGCAAGAAGAGGCGGATGAAGAAGATCCTGGTGGCCGCCCGCCGGTATCCTTATGACTGTTAACGTTATTTATGGCTCCACCGATGGACGTATTGTTGCTGTTATTCGAAATGGTGTTAACCAATGTTGTGGCAGTAGAATACTGGCTGGCGGTGCTCAGGGATGGAGTGATGGTAATTGTGGAATTTCGACTGTTCAACGCAGCGTTGGGCTGGCGCAGCGTTGCTGCATCGTTGATACTATCCCCGGCTACTGCTGTAGCTTCGCAAAGCAATTGGACAAAGTAAGGTCCCCATCGGCGTGAAAGGACGTGAGAGCTGACGGGGATACGTTCACCGCCAATTGTAAGTAGGTCCATGTCAGCTAGCTCAGTACATGCTTGTGCCATTAGACCCAACTTCTCTGCTGCTGCTGATAAAGGCCGCCCGCCGGAACACTGAATTGAGAATTTTGGCTGCAAGGCCGGACGCAGAGGAGGCGCACTCACGGACATATATCCGGATGTGGGCGCAGCTCTCCTGGGGTTTTCGTAGAGACCAAAGGCTTCCAGCTCGACCATGCATATATGCGAAAAGTTGATGCGGCGATGATTATAATCTTCTACGAGATTTCTCTTGCGGTGTCCCAGAATAACGAAAGTGCTTCTTCTGTTCCAGATAATACCACGGTTCCAGCTACCACTTGAAAATATGGAGCCACCAGCATCAATGCGGCCCCATGTCATGGTCTTTAGGTCAAGCGCCCATAGAGCATATTCCTGTTTAGAAGCAGTGAGATAGGTGCCGCTGACGACGAAATGGCCATTAATAACGCCACCGTTAGGAAAACGTAGTCCCGGTGGAGAAACAGAAGTATCCATGGCCTTTTCAACAAGTTTCCCATCTGGAAGGCGAGCTTGAAGTTCCAATTTCACATCGAGGAAGTTATAATTTGAATAGATCAGCATTGACGAGCCAGGCATCCCTGCTGCGTCGTGGTTGTTACTAACGTTTGCCATATCTTTATCAGTCCTTTCAGCGCCCAGATCATTGACTGACATCCCCGCCAGCGGGACGACGACAGAACGGTATGCACCGCAACTGCGGCCCAGCGGGCTAGTGGCAGTCCATTTCAAGCTCCGAAGGTTGAACACACTTATTTGTTCAATGTAGTGATTTGAGCTATCCTGGCCACCGACGACGACCATCTCAGCGCCTCCATAACCGTCTATCTCTACACCGATGGAACCTTGGTGCGGATTTGAAGTGGAGGTTGACGGGTTATTGTGTATAGCTGTCATGGGAGCATTGGCGGAAACGAATGGCGCAGAAGACGGGAGGATAGTTGCGCAATGGGCATATCGTCCCTGGGGAGTGTTTGCAGTATTGATATGGGTCCATGTCCTGGTTACGACGTCGTAAATGTGCACGTCTGACATGACGACAACTTCAGGCTGAGCTTCCTGCCCTGCTGAATGGGAGGAACTGACGTTGGTAGGCGGGTGTCCGGCGACGGCAGATCGCGGGGACATACCGCCGTAGCAGACGAGCTTAGTGTCGCCCAGCGGGCACATGCTATGAAAGTATCGTGGAGGAGGCACATCACCAGTGGGGTGGATTTTTGTCCAGTGTCTTTTGATCAGGTCTAGCTCGTAGAGGTCAGAGGTAAGCTCTGGTCGAGCTCTAGATAGTAGCCGGCCGCCAAAGACATAGAGTTTGTCGCCTAGGATCGTAGTTGTGGCGCCGACGAGGGCGTGCGGCTCTCGACCAGTGGTGCGGTGGACATTGCACACCAGACCCGAGAGATTTGTTGGGCCTGCAGTCGCACTCGTCCCATTTTGCGTCTGTTGCTGTTGCTGTGGTTGAGACAGTGATTGCGACTGAGAATGTGAGTGCATGGGCAAACTACTACCGGTGATGGTGGTTTGGTTCCCGGCAGAGTCAGCTCCCCTGGAGGAGGAAGGGCGCCTGATGGAAGCCATGGAGGAACAGTTGGACGGTTCGCTTTCACTCAGTCGGGAGAGAATGGACGTTGGCGGATACGCGAGGTTCGGCAGTGCAGGCAATAGTGGCGAGGCGAGTAAATGTTCCTGCGAGCGTCCATAAGGTGAAGCAGGAGTAGGTGGCGGAGTTTGCTCAGTCGTGGGAGAGAGCGGAGGCGAGAGAGGTAGCGGTGTACTGGTTGCCGAAGCAGAAGCAGGTGTAGAAGCAGACAAGGGAGCAGAAACAGGAACTGTCTGCTGTCGCGAAAGTGAGGATCCTCGGGGTCGTGGAAAGGGGAGGGGAGGCGTGGGCAGTGGGAGGCTGGCGTATCTGTCGTCTAGTAGTATCGAATGTAGAACCTCAGGCGAAGAGTCTGCGCGAAACCAAGACTGCGACGCAGGGACAGTGGAGGAGCGAAGTCTAGCCTCTCCGTTTGTGCTCCTGGCAAGTCCTGGAGTTCCGCCGGCAGCGGGAGTCGTAGGGCTGACAGTCTCGTCGACGGAGAGGATGAACTCGTTTCTGGACTTGCTCTTGCTTCTGCTCCTGCTTCTAACGAGATCCGAACCTGATCGAAGGTACCTCTTCACAGAAGCGAAACGGCTCGAGCGCGAATTTGAGTGCGAGTGCGAGTGCGAATGTGAGTGCGAGTAGGGTGATACATTTGCGGATGCAGGTGCAGGTGCGCCAGGCGTTGTACTCGTATTTGCATTGAACAAGGACAGCCTTGGGCCTGCTCCTGATCCTGATCCTGAAGCAGAGCCGGAGCGAGAGCCCAACGGCGAGGAGGACTGCTCGGAACCTGCCATGATGTCAGTGAACATGTCCAACCGGACGCCATGGTTCAAGAGAGACATGGCCGTATCTCTTATATATATAGCTATCCCCTCCGGCCCCTTATGTATGCTCCATATATACTCCGTACAGCCCCCCTTGTATAGATGGGCAGACAAGAGGAATATAGGGAGGGAGGGGAAAGGCCAGAGAGAGCCATTATAAGAGTGTTGGAGCGTTATATTCTAGCATAACACTTTTTTTTCTTTTCGTACAGGTAACAATCACCAACGTACGTACCTCTCAAGCAACCTGGACAATATTACCCTGACCCGGCCAGCGGTCTCGCCGATACCATACCAGTCGAATTCCCACAGCGTCAGGTGTGCCTGGCAGACATATCCATGTAGGTTAGTTTGCGGCGCGCTGAGAGAAGATGGAGAACAGAGAGGGAGGCGGGAGAAAAAGGAAGAAGACAAAGGATGCAGGCCTGGACGAACCAAGTGGGCGAGCCGAGCGGTCGACCAGGAACCCCAGGGCTATCTGAAACGCCGGGTGGGCCAGGAGTCGCTGGCAAGCTGCTGCTCTCGACGATGATCCGAATAACGCCCGTTAGGCGACGACGTTGGCGATTTATGCGCTGCGAATGACGCTGGTTGCTGGAGTTGTTCGTTGTTCGTCGTTGCGGTCGACGTTGAATTTGAAGTTGCGGACGTTGAAATTGACGTTGAAGGTGGGATGCTTGGCGCCTCGAGTTACCGCATTGGGACATATTAGGGGCGGCGCCGCGTGAGCCCCTGAGCAGCCGACAAGCGAGCGCCGACGGCGAGACAGACGAGATAGACGAGATAGACGCGGAAATAGAGAAGACGAGTAGAGAGAAAAAGAGAGTAGTAGTTGTTGTTGTTGTAGCGAAGAGGAGTTTATTATTACTATTTACAGCCAATTACATACGCGAGTCTTCCTTGAGGGTGACGTATCGGAGGTATCTGCAGCAGTTAGCATATCTATCTTAGTTCTAGAGAGGCAGCCACGCGCGCGGGAGGAGAGAACACTCACGACTTGACTTCTCTGACCTGGCCAAACTTCTTGGAAGCGTCGTCGGTGCTGACGAATGGAGGGACGATGACGTCGTCGCCCTTCTGCCAGTTGATGGCGGTGTTGACGGTGTTCCTGTCAGTCGTCTGCAGGGCGTCGACGCAGCGCAGGACCTCGGCAGTGTTGCGGCCGGTCGTGGCTGGGTAGCTCATGATCAGACGGATCTTCTTCTTTGGGTCAATGATGAAGACAGAGCGGATGGTCATGGCCATTCCTGCATAGATTGAACAACTAGTTAGCATCATGTTGCACTCCTGCAGTAGGGGTATATCAAAGGACTGACCCTTCTCGTCGACGTTGGTGGTGTCCTGGTAGTCGATCATGTCATAGAGGTAGGAGACCTTGCGGTCCGCATCTGCAATGATGGGGAATTGGAGGCTGCAGCTGTTGACCTCGTCGATGTCCTTGATCCATTCATGGTGCGATCCGATGCCGTTGGCAGACTGGTTGCGTCCGTTAGATCGTATTATGCATGGAAAAACGAGCAATTCAAGGAAGGACATTGGTTACTACGCACCAGGCCAATGAGCTTGACACCACGCTTGGTGAACTCGGGCTCTAGTTTGGCAAAGGCACCCAGCTCAGTGGTGCAAGTAGGAGTGAAGTCATCCTGTCCAGTCCCAGCGGTCAGCAATTAACTAACTAGTCAACCAGCTCTTTCTAAGCCACCACCTAGCACAGGGTCGCGAGCACCAACGCACAGGGTGAGAGAAGAGGATGACATAGTTGTCACCGATGAACTCGTGGAAGTTGATCTCGCCCTTGGTGGTGATGGCCGTGAAGTCGGGGGCGGTAGATCCCAGACGGAGGCTGCAGGACGGCTGGCTGTTAGTACAATCGATAAGATGCGGGGTGGCGGGAGGGCGGGCTTACGGAGCGCTGCGTTCAGCCATTGTGTGCTAGATACGGAGACTGGAGTAGAAGATGGCGCTGACGATGAAGCCGAAGACGATGATAATGAGTAGTAGCAGCAGCAGAAGAAGAAGACGAAGAAAGAAGAAGACGAAGACGATGGGGAGCAGGAGACGCAGCAGACGAAGCCGGCGAGATCCATATAAAAAGCCCGGGTGGCCCCTCGATGAGGTAAGCAGGGACGGCGTCCCCCCTCCTCGCTCGCTTCATCACGCCATCTTGGGCGCAAATACGAAAGCAGCGCAGACGCTGATTGATGATGTTGATGATAAATGCAGAAGGGCAGAGAAGCTGGCAGAGACGGCCGGATGGCGAGGGCGGGTGGGATCAGGCTGTTGACGGGATGGCAGACATCAGGTGTAGGTCGATTGGTTGGTGCTGAGTGATGCTGCTCCTGGTGGTCGAGAGACAGGGCATCAACTACTCCGTACAGCTTGATTCTACATGTATACGCAAGTCCAACGACACTCTACACCTGCATCACACTCGTAAACATGCCCTCTCATGCATAAACAAGGTGTCTTTGCCTGCACCATCGCCTTTCATCTCGAGAAATGCCAGATTAGCTCAGCCATCTCGAAAAAATCTCGGAAATATGTTTGGGCTGTCATTCCACTTCCCCTAGCTAGCCCCTTGCTCCCAAATTCTCTGCTTGAACTGCTCTGTATTATGATACGCTGTATGAGCCAGTCACTCTCGACCTTCTTTGCTTGCTCCAGGGAATGGTCATTTTATACTAGTATTAGTCGAAGTCAACTCCAGCAATCTCGACTCGAAAATCCCTGCAAGCCACATCCGTCATCCCGTCCTGTCTTTGAGGCAAGAGACACGGTAACATATATGAATAAGGACCCCCAGGCTCTGTTGATCATTGACGATCCTCAGCCTGCCTTATATACACAATTACTACTAAGCAGTGAAGTATGAGTTCCAGGATGCTATGTATACACACACCTATATAGCAGGGACTTGATATCAGTCCCTATACATTATATTAGGTATATCAGACAGCCCACTTCTCCTAGATCCTAGGATTTCCTAGGTCAGGTAGATCAATATTCTTTATTAGACTTGCTTTCAGGTGTATGTACCAACTTCTATGACATGGTGATCTTATGGCTATCAAGTGGGAAGTGTTGGAGCTGCAAAGTATAACTGAATGGAGTAACTAGCCCGGAGGGTATAGAATAGTAACTATCAAGCAGTGCAACTCACCATTATTATCATTATTAGACGGGTTGTCTACCCTCCTGTTAGAAATGATGGTTTCTCCGTGATGGACCTGTAATGGGACCCTACTCAGGATCCAGGACTACCCCTGAATCATTTTAGCAGCTGCTGCTGGAGAGTTTCCTCCAGGGAGTTAGTGGGGCCGCCGTTCAGTCTTATTCTAATGTTTAAATCCTTCTAAGGGTAAGGAAAATATAGTAAGGCTTCTTTCGAGCCTGGATGTATTCACACACAAAGTATACTTCTGTATGGCTTAATGTAACTCTAGTCTAGGACTCTCTGTCTGTGTATCGTCTCAATGGGTAACATGATTCATGGATTTCATAAGAATAGAAATATAAAAAGCAAGCTTTCCTTTCACTTTGGGGGAGAGACTTCGCATTGGTCCCAGTTGCCGTTAGACCTTGCATAGGTCAATCCGTTGATAAAATCATCCAGCTTGCATCGTCCAAGGAAGTCGGTGTGACAATCCTGAAGGGGGAAGACCCGATCGTTGAGCAGGACACGGACATACTCTTGCTTAGCAGATGGAGAGTGGTCACACACCATCTTCTCAAAGTAAGCTCTAGCACCGAAGGGGACGGTCCAGGAGGCAGAGTAGCCGGAAGCATCGGCAGGGTCGGTGATTTTGGTTGGGGAAAGAGGCTTGGTGGCGTTGAAAAGTCCCATGGCGGTGAAGATAACTGTCATACTGTTGTCGTGGCTAAAATCAGCGTAGAGTGGCAGACCGAGTGGGAAGGTCTTGGGGTTGTCGTCTAATTCATGATCAACGGTTGTGTTGTCTTTGACAGGCGAACTGGTTAGCCTGGCGATGAGTTCGTTGACATAGCCTATTCCGGGAGCAGGGCCAAAGGAGTTTCCAGGCCCGTGTCCGTAGAACTTGCCCAGGGTCTCGAGGTAGTCATAGTGACGGAACTCTTCGTGTGAAAAGAGATGGCAGAATGGAGAGAGCTTGCTTGCATCCGGAGTGCGGGCTACAGTGTCAAAGGGGCACATGGCCATAAGACTCTTGATGTCTCCAATCTTGATGTTGGCTCCTGGTAGCTTCTTGTTGACTCTGTCCACGATAGGCTGGGTAAATGTGCTGCGGAACTGATCGGTAATCTTATCCGCTGTCTCATCATTGTCAAATGCATCACAGCCTTGGGGAGCAATTGGGTTCTTCCGGCGATCCTCTTCGCTAATGATGAGATCAAGCTTGGTGGCCCCGCCTTTCTCACTTCCTTTGGCCTTATTGAAGCCCTCCACAAACTTGTGGGCTGAAGCAACCACACGCTCAGAGCCTGCGGATCGGACAAAGACCTTGGAGTCCTTGGTCAAACCATGGTACCGTTGGAAGAAATTGATGCCAGAGTCATACAGCTGGCTCTCGCCAAAGGGGGTCAGGTCATCAGCTCCAAGGTTATATTTGTAGTCTTTTAGGAAAGCAAACTCGTCTTTGAACTCGGTGGCATCTTCCTGGATACGCTTAATCAGAGAAGAGTAGGTGGCGCTCTTGTCTGCTGTAGGGAATCGGGCGCCATGGCGCTGGAGAGATTGTGCGAAGGTGATCTTGCAGCCCGGAGGAACAGCCGAGGAGATTGCAGAGCGTCCTTCCAGCGAGAAGTAAGGGGAGTACTGGCCCCAGAACTGAGAGTACTGCGGGAAACAGCCATATCCGCGGCTGGGGGTGCTACAGAACGAGGCCGCATCAATATTAATTTCAGCCGGTGTAGCAACGGCACTGCTACCGAGTCAGCATATAACCAGCTAATCAACACTTGGGGAGCCGTAGTGGAATATTAAAACCTACACCTGGACGCCCGAAATTGCCAGCGCAGCAAACAAGACAGAAGCCATGGACGACATCTTGCGACTGGATCTTAATAGTCAGCTCGGTTATTCACTGACCCTCCACAGCATGGAATGCGATGAGACGATCCCGGGCCTGGCCTATTTATGTCTGCGCTGGGTATGCCAAAAGGCCAGGGTCAAGCATCAAGAAGCCGCCGAACAGTGTCTCGTCCCCTCCTCTGTCTGCCTTCCATCACGACGAGGAAGCAGAGGAGAAGAAGAGACAAGCATCTCTTGGGCCGGACAGGATCGTCGTCGTTGTTTCTTTTGCTGTGTCTCTGTCATCGTACTCGCTTGACCCGCCGTGGAGGAGCCCACGCGCGCAGGATCACAGTCTGATTGGCCAGTCGACTACGTCCGCCAATCGGAGGGCGAACTGCTAGGAGAGCAGCGGGGCCAGAATCACGGGGAGAGACCCTTGCAGTGGCAGCCAGAGAAGATGCAGAGGATGCCGCGGATGCAGAGATGTAGATAATCACGGAGCAGTACGGAGTAAGGCAGACTGCTGGCCGGGTTTGTTGTTGTCGTTGTCAGGGATGGAAGTGGACGAAAAGCAACGTCTGTACGACGCCGAAAAGGGGAAGAAAAGAAAAAGGCAGCGCTGGGGCAGACGCCAAATTACATAATACGCGTTTATGGCGGTTAAAAGACGCTCGGACCGAAAACTTATCCGAGCAAGCGCAGCTTAGATAAGTGACCCGCAACTTTATTTTCACGTGATATGATATTATGTAATCCATGAACCCCTTTTTCTGTTCTTGCTAGGGAGAGAGTGAGATAAAAAGGGGGTAGATAGAGAACGCAGTGAACTCCCCAAAATATTCTCAAATACGGAGTAGCAAGAAGCACCACTTCGTAGACGTCAAGAAAAACCTAGTAACGATGAATATGTGACATGACTAAGAAGAGCGAACTAGATGGAAGCCTGATTTATGCAGCTGCAGCCATCCCAGGTCCATGGAACTTGATGCAAATAGCTTGGGAGTCTCGAGCTCTCTCTTCCCCATCCCGTCGCCGCATCCTCGTCTTGGCCCTGCAGCTTGCAGCTTCGGAAGACCGGTTCTGACGCAGTGACGCGGCCTGCTGTGTGATGTGATAGCTAAGGCGTCCGACCATTCCCCTTTTCTGTCCTAGCTGTATTCTTACCCACTTTAAGCACGTCAGATGTGGTTTACTGGACCCAGCCCTTTGGAGCAACCAAGTCATGTCAATAGCCGATAGCAACAAAGAGAAGGTAACATTAGACAAAGAAGCTCTCCTTTCTATTTTCCCCCTCTTCGGCTACGAAGGTAGATTAGTTTGCGCTGAACTGCAAAGATAGTTAACTGACACAACTCCTTTCAGTAAATCCAAAGGTGAAAAGCCTTTTACCCCTTTTCCAATCCCCCCCCAGTTCGGCCAGGGCCACCCAGAGTAACCAAACCCATGGTTCAAGAATGGTCCCCATTAGAACGAGAGACAAATGAAATTAATAATGAAGAGCTAGCAAATGAAAAGGAGAAGGTTTAGCTGTGGTAACAACATTAAATAGCCCAATTTCGTAAGGAAATAATACCAATAATTATAATAAAAAAAAAAATAACAACAAAACATGCGTCATCCAACAGCAAGAGATACACATACAACAGACGACTCCCGACGGTTTTAGATGGCTATTGGTTACATATGAAACAGTATATAGAAGCGAGAAACGAAATAATAAAAAAGAACACCACCGCCCCTTCCTTCCCCCCTGGACCAAGGCCATTCCGCCCCCCTCCCCCACGCTAGTTATCAGCTATGAAACGAAAAATGACACTATCAAAATAGGAAACAAACATGCCGAATCTGCCGCGTGTTTTCTTCCCTTTCCCTGTCCCTCTCATATATCACTTCTTGCTCTTTCTCGCTTGTTTCTTTTGCTGTTCGTTTCACCGTCTTCATGCCCCGCGTGAACATAAAACATCAATCGTGCGTGATTGATGGCTGCTGATATCGACCTTTCCTCGTTTCACTCGCGGACGTGGGTTGGTTATCATCACCGAACACGCCGGAGAGATAGAACCAGGAATAAAAACAGACTGGGCGACAGAAAAGGAAAATCTAGAAGTAACTCGCCCCGAATATATAGGTGGACAGATGATTTTAGAGATGAAAGGACTGCAAAGGAAGGGAAAACCGGAGTACAGAAAAAAGAAATAAAAATGAAGCATTGTGCCACCCTGGGTATCAATACAAAGAGGGTTGAAATATGGAAGAGGTAACAAGAAAGAAGATATCAACTCAATCTAGTGAGGTGAAGAAATAGGAATGAGAGTCAGAGCAGAAAATTTTGCAGGTTGGCTGCACTCCATCCCGATCAAAAGAGGCATCAATGTCATTTTGATAGGGCAGAGGGGTCATCACCATACCTTGCAATTCAATAGGGTAACCAGAGAGATATAAAGGCAGAAAAGGAAAAACGAAAGGCATGAAAAAACAGAAAATAGTATACGACGAAACCCTTATTAGGGTAGGGCCTCCGGAAAGTATAGGAACAATAGAAAAAGATGCAAAGCTAGGCCAATGGACAAAAGCGAGTATATAGAGTAAGAAAAATAGAAACAGTTTGACGCCTTCCAGCAGAGGTTGCCCTCTTCCTACCATAGTAATATTGTAAGTATGCTGTTCCCGGGGCAATTTGTAGCCACAGTTCCTGCCCAGGCATGTTTATTAAAGACGACAGAAGTTGAAAAAGAAATGGACAGAATTTGGGAATTGATAGGAGCTATGAAATGGGGGATGATTTTTGGGAAAGGAGGATTAGGTGCTCTCAGGGAATAATTAGTTGATATTGAGATTAGATCAAAAGTATATGAGATCCGCATATACAGGTAAGTGGTATCGGCTAGAGATCCAGCTCCAAGTCGATAAAGTGAAACATTGGCCCTAGTCTTGTGACCCTCTTATTCACCATCACTGTTCATGTTGGTGTTGTTGCTGAGGGTGTGGAAACGGTGGACCTTGCTGTTGTTGTTGGCTCTCATGTGGACTGGTTTGAGCTGCCGGTGATGTGGTTGAAGTTATGTCTCCGGGTTGGGAAGTGGTATTCACAGAAGGCGCACGCCAGGTCGATGGGTATGACAGTGGATAGGATGGAGCAGGCGGTGTTTGAGTAGAAGGGGATATTGTTGAAGTAGGGACGAATGGACTAGGAGTCTGAGATCCCGGGTATGGTAGATGGATTGGCCCGGCCCCGGTTCTCTGCCTAACATTGCGCCCCCCTGTGCCTCTCCCTCTGTCGTCTGGGTCAACCGAAGTGCGCTCCCCTTCATCTGAGGCAAGAGAAGTGGCCCGAGATTTAAAAGTCCGAGGCGACGGTGGCCGTTGGGGTATTTGGGCACCAGGGGTCCTTGAATACATATCCCGGAAAAAATTTCGCTCTCTAAGATAGAAATCTCTTTCTTCAGTAAGACTCCTGATTTCCTCCTCTTGTCTTCTAATGGTCTGCATTTGTTCTTCCTCCACGGCCTTCTTCCTTTGTCTAAACCTTTTGGAAGCACTGCTATTCTTTTCACGTTTTATCTTGGCTTTGATTGATCCGGAATCTGTGTCGAGAACGAGGGGTATGGACCAAGGAGGCACGTTTGCGGGATCCCCCGTACGGTCCCCAAAAAGTGACTGAGCTATGGCACTCCTGGATGACCCAGACATAGCTGGATTTGATATGGGAGCAGGATGCTGATGCTGTTGCTGAATGTGAGCCGGCGGAACTGGAGCAGGTGATGCCTGGCTGAATGAACTATATGATGATTGAGGAGTGCGTGGGCTTGTCTCTTGAGACTGGGGGTTATTCGGCGGTCGCTGATCATAGAAAATATTTGCAGCGTGAGTTGTACGGCGAGGCTGAGTTAATCTACTGGGAACCGTGGAGGAAGCAGAGTCAACATTCAACCTGGGGGCGCCCTCTGCAAATCTCGGAGGCGGGGGGGACTGTAAAAATGGCGATTGCATTGCATTGATGGTACCTGGAACAGGAGGATATCGCCCGCTTCCTAAGCTTGCAGCGCGAACAGCGGGTGACTTTGGGGTTAACATCCTCCGTTCGACCCTTGGAGACATATTAAAGGTTTCATAATGATAGTGTCGTGTAGGCTGTGCTGGGGGTTGGACGGGAGAAGGCGTCCCATGAATAAGCGCGGAAGGGGATGTAGCTGTGGAAGTCGGAGATCCTAGAGGCTCCCGGCTACCTTGACGTGAGATTGGCTCTGTCGGAGAGTGAGTCGATGGGTTAAGGATGGCCTGCATCCCTAAAGATCGAGACCGTTGCTGAGGTGCTACATTCTGGCTGGAAGATGTCGGTCTTCTATTATGCGCAAGCTCTGGAAGTATCTCATCGCCCCTCATCGACCCCGACCGATTAGGAGGGTGCCCTTGAGCGTCATGCTGCACTTGTGGATCTACTGTCTCAACCTCATCTTGTGTAGGAGCTGAACGGCTGGTGGATGTCAGAAGCTGGCTGACAGGCTGGGAAGTCTCGTCGGAAGGAGAATTTGAAGCATAGGGCCGCTGCGACATAAGATTTTGTTCTCCTCCGAAGGGAAGTTGACCTTGGAAGTGGCATGGACGGTCCTTCCCTCTCTCCAAAGGACTACGGCCCTCGTGTAGCTGAAATTGAGAGAGGGAGGAGGGAGGACTAGGTAGGAAGTCGCCTGGACAATGGTCACGGTTTTCAGGATGGGGAGACAGCCTTGAAGATGTCGACCCTGAGTAGCCAAGGTGAGAAAGGCTTTGGGAAGTGAGGAGAGCCACGGTGAATAGAGGGTAAGGAGGTCCCCTAGACCTAGATATAGCTAAGTTTCACGGAGGGAGATTCAGCGGTTTCTTTAAGTAGTCGGCCTTCTTCGTTGTCGTAGTCAAGCACTTGATGCAGACGGCATAGACAGCTATCGAGCTCGGTGTCGTCACACGTCGAGAGGAGGAACAGGTGGAAATTGGTGGGATAGTCGACAAAGGAATAGCCTGTTGGCAAACGTCGACTGTATAGTGGGTGATTGGGTATTGGCCTCTTTTTCAGGAGTACGGAGCAGAGAATATTCAACAACTGCAGGTCATGGAAAAGAAAAAAGGGCGAAGCATTCAAATGAAAAAGAGAATGAGGCAAGCACCAGAACTGAGGATACGAGAGGGCAGCCCTTCCATAAGGAACTTGGGACGATTGGCCATTTGCTTTTTCCTCATTATGATGAATAAGAAAATGGTCCTCCCAGATGGAAATGAAAAAGCTCCGCTATGATCTAGCGAGTTAAAGGCAGCTTTCATGGGACCGGGCGTACCGGAACTATCCCATTCATGGAGGGATGGGTACCCAAGATTCGTGCATAGAATAACAAATTAATCGTTATCGTCAACCAAAGAAAAAAATTAAAAATAAAACGGCGTGCAAATGAAAAATAAGGGAATGCAAACAAAAACTAAAATAAAAGAAACCTACCAAACAAGTCACAGGCACTGTCGCTCCGCCAGCTTGGTAAAGGGATGAGAATGGTGGCCCGCCAGTGGAGCGCAAGGCAAGCCTCTGCGCGGCGACTATTGGTCCGTTCAACCCTTGACGTGCTGGAGACTCGTTGTGCTTGAGTCAAATCCAAAACTGGGGGGGGGGGCACTATTTTGTGTTGTACAAGTGGTGCTTTTTATTTTGGCATGCTGGGCAGCAACCAGGCTGGTGCTGCGTTGCTTGGTTGGTCGTATCTTCAAGGTTACTAGCTGTTTTCTTTCAGGTGCTGGTCGTCCGAGTGGGCCTTGCGAGCCCCAGTGGAGAGAGTTCCCGAGGCGAAAGGCTAACGGCTGAGGATTCAGTCTTGCTTTGTAACTGGAACCCAGAGAGCGGCCAGAAGCCAGCAGATCAAGGAGATAAAAAGGCTGGACACGCGGGCAAGAGCGATGCCATCCCGCACAGCGCAAACCAACCTGGGGGGCCCTCCCGCGGAGGTTGACTGCGCAGTAACCATAAACTCGAAGGATTTCGTGTCGAATATTTGCCGGGGGAGGAAAGGATACGGGGAATCTCAGTTACCATTGGTGGCTGTTGCTGTTGCCATGGCCCGTTGGGAGCCTTCTCTGTTGCCCTTGTTTAAAGCCAGTCTAAAATACCTAAGAACGAACCTGTACCATCAGCACCAGAGCTGCAAAGTGGAAACAGTTGGGCTGCCAATGACTGCTGGTACTAGTGAGAGTTAGTTTTCCCTGGCTCATGTTACGAGATTTTCGATACTTGGTGGAAGAAGGGAAGTATCAGATTCTGTGCTTTGTTCTGCGAATCAACGTGGTGAAAGTCCCTGCTGGGCAAGTAAGGAGATATAAGGGCATGGAAGTCCTGGTATGGAACTCATCTTCTCTCCACCTCGTTCAAAGAAGGCAGAAACTGTCGAGATTGGCTGGGCTGAATATGCTGATCGTGACGGGCTGCCATGAGATTTCGATGCTGGCAACATCCCTGCTGAACGTGGAGAATAGCTCAGCAAGAAAGGAGCTTGGAAGCTCGGGTAAATGGCTCGAAACAGATGAAATTACCACATCAAAACCTCTGGATGGGTAAGAAAAGCAAACCATTCACTCAGATGAGCCCCAGCCTGTCTTACTGTTTCCTGGCATTCCGGAACTGCGCTTGGCTTTAGGACGACTAAATGTGCCTTTCCAAAAGAGAGAAAATACACGTACCTCGAAGCTGGTACCCCTGCCCTAGCTCCGTACAGAGTAAGTACGTAACCTGAAAATTACCAGCCATACTGCACATTTTCGTTACAAAGCGGAAAGATCTGGACATGACTTCTCTCCATACTCAGGCGTAATTTATGGAGAGTATTATTTGTCTGAGCGACCGAGTTCCACGTAATCAAGTCGGATGGAGTGAAACATGAAAACGTAGAATACATTTAACAACATTCTAGAAATACCGTCAGCAACGCTCCCATGAGGAAACAATGCATAGTCTTCAGGTTGCTATGCGCAGATTATGGTGTATCATAGGCCCACACTTTCCTCAAGATGCACACAGATAAAATGTCCATAAAGGTAAGGGATATAAAGTGTGTTAGAGGAGGAGTGGCACTCCTCCCTTATTAGCCTTGTTCATATTCCTTCATTGTTTGCGGGGAGGGTTACATACTTCTCGAGATGATCTTGCTTGGGGGATCTTCGTTTACTAGAGATATCTCTCCTAGCCCTCAATAATGCAAGATTCGCGCTATCCATTATGGTCAATATAACCATGCTCACCAGCCTTATTTTTAGGGCCGAAGGTTTTGTTTTGTCGATTAAAAAAAAGAAAGAAAAAGAAAAGGTCCGATCAGGATGTTGTGTGGAGGAATTGATTCCAGAAAGGAGCCAATGTTCTGTCCATCTTTCAGGGCTCCAGGGGCTTTCAAATGGAATTTTCTCTTGGAGGGAGCGGGCTGATGCTCCATGCTGTTCGGCACGCGCTCCCGCTGGAGAGAATGCCAATGGGGGCCCCATCAAGCTAATGCCATCGAGCAACGACCAGGCCTATCTGCCCCTTGATGCTGGGTGCGCAGTGAGAAGCGGGTGACACTAACTGGTGTAGAACATCCTGACGTGGTTCGGCTGTTGGCAATATGCCTCCGCTCCTGTGATCGCCAACAGATCCTCCACCTTCAGCTCTTGAATTCATACCACTGAGGATCTTTGTCTGGCAACCCTGGCGGGATCTGGAACCCACACATTAGTTTCAATTCATGAGCGAAATCATTGAGATCATGCAAGATCGAGATCGGGTTGGATATCATTTTACCCCCGGCTCGTGGTAAGTGAACTGATAGGTGATTTCGAGCAAGGGAGGATCGTTGATCAAGTCTTGCCTGTTACGGAGTTCTTCTCTCTCATTCAACTCGGCAGCCACACGCCTTCTTTGTTGATGTGCTCTGGGAAGTATCATTTCACCGTCCGTAACCCTTCACGAATCACATGGGGCAGAGTATGGGTTCGGGCCCGGCTTAGGCTCCGTTCCTCTATTATTAGTTTTGCATCTGGATATTTGTGTGAGTATGCAGAGTAACCTCCGGAAACGACTGAGCTGATGCTAGCTTGAAGCCAGGGCATTTCTCGTGTTTTGACCTTGTCTTTTTCCTTTTTCCTCCCTCTGATTGTTTCTTTCTTTTTCCTGTATTTTCCTTTTTTTTTTTTTCCTCTGCATTGCTAACGAGTTATCCCTGGCATTATCGTGGGGTTCCCCAGCTATCTCGAACAACTGCTCATCTCGGCTTTGTACTTGCCCATGGCAGTTTTGTATCTCCTCGTCCGCGGCGGTGTCGTCGTTGATGTTGGATGTGAAGTTTTCGATGACGTTGAAGTAGACGTTCTTCTGCACGGACCACTTTACTCCCGTTTTGGAGAAAGAGACCTCCATCGATGAAAAACAATCGGAAAACAGCAAAATACACCAAAAAAAATTACACGGGAAAATAAGGACTCAGAACTTGGAAGAAGAAAATATTGCATGAAGGTCAATTTGATAGTTCCTGCCCCCTCCCCCCTCGCCTCCCGTATATGTACTCCAGATCGTGCAAAAAAGCAACGCAGAATGCAAGTCAGGATGCCCTTTTCCTCAATGTCATGCAGCTGCCCTGCAACTCCGGCCAAGCGATAAACGAGAGAGAGGTTGGGATCAAGGCCTCGAAAAAAAAGGCAGTAGGGACATGGGATGCAACAACGTTAAAGCCAAACAGCCGTCTTGTCTCTCCCACGTTCTGCCATCATGCACAGCCATCCGGTGGTGTGAGTGTACTCTGTACGTGAAGACCGAGTCTGATATAATAATATGACTAGGATCAGACGGGCGAAAGTACAAAAAGAAATGATTGAAAAGTCAGTCAGTGAAAATAGAAGCTTGTTGTTTTGGTCTTCTTTCTTTTTCTTTTTTCCTTTTTGTGCTTTCGACTTCGAAGAGTTATTTTATCACCATTTTAACTATTATTATTACTTTCTCTTTAGTACGGAGTACCTTCGCCTGGTTTGCGGAGTCATCACAGCGCATGGTTGAAAAGGAGCACCACAGGAAGACCAACAAGTTCTGCACGTCGATCAGAACATTCCATTCTTAGCTGGGCTGATAAGTAGCTAGCGGTACGTTCAGCTTGTTCTTCCGCCTGCATGGCTGCTACCTGAACAACACGATATCAACACCCTTGCCAGTCGCTCACGTCTTTTCCGTCTCACTCAACGATGGTATACCCGAACTGCCTATAGAATGGTATCCGACTTGTTCGTGGCGCTGCGGAACCCAAATCCTGAGACTTGGCAATAGGTGATCAGCTTGAGGACCAATTCGCAGGAAAAAATGGGTAGCGATCCTATCAAATGGCAATTCGAACGCCTGCATAATCCTTTCAATTTTCAAATAACGGTGGAGGCCTCTTGCATGAACAGCGGTGATTGGATGCGGTAAGAGACTCCCGGCATGTCAAGGCAAACGATAGACCTAATTCCGCGATCATGTGCCTCCTTTCGTTCGACACCGCAACCCTGGAACAGGGACTCAACGGCGCCGTACTAGTGTCTGCCCTCTGGCTTGATCCACTGCCCGTCGTGAAAAAGTAGGGGGTAAGCAGGAGCTTGGCTCGTACTCTGTATGGCTTCACTATGGAGTAGCGACGGAGCATCCTTCATAGAGAGAATTGAGAATAAGTTGTTATTATGGATTCTTCTGGCGATCATCCGAAGGAGCAGGAAGCCAAAAAATCCTGTCTCTGAAATCTCCACTGACCCCATTCCACCAGCCCAGCTTGCCGAAAGTCTGCCAGAATACGACTCCAGAGCTCAACGGACCGCTCTTTGTCTCTCCCGCTCCAGCATCCGCCTTCCGGGTAATTACGAGAATTAGCGTGGGGAGACCTTCCAAGGGAAAGGTATATCAAGCAATTTCTATACCAATAACTATATCATTAGGTAACATCAAATAATGAACGATGCATGATATAACCAAGGGTACAGATTATCTTCAGTGGGATATGCTCCCCATCATCCAACCATAAGCTTTGAAGGTTGAAAGTCCAAACAAACTAGAAAAAGAAAATCTTCTTGGGCTGTCACTCTCAAATCCTTATCCCTTTCCAGCTCACCCATCAGAAATCAAATGTTGTTTTGTTCCCCCATATCCTTAGCAGAAGCCAACCAGCGGTTGATCAGTGCGATACGAGTTCACCAAGCCATTTCAGGAATCTGTATCCTCACCTCACCGCCTACAAGGGGGCTGGCTGGCTCATTCTTGAGGGAGGTGGGTGGGCAAAACAGGCAGGGACAGGGAATAATAATACATACTAAGCTTCCCATACATTATCGCCAGCAGCAAGGAAAATCTCCGGCTTACATTTTCTCTTCACAAGAGAAGGATATCGGCAAATGCCCGTGAACAAACCGATAACCACAAAGGGCGGACTACTCCGTGCAGGGGACAGTGTCAAAAAAAATGCCACCCGAGCTCAGGTCAGAGTGTACACACCCCTTCCACGTTCCGCAGTTTGGCATGGTATCGAAAGGTAGGGGTCTTGCACATACATGATGCAAGACGCACATAATGCATATGCATGATGCAAAATATCCGTGTGTCTAGGATAGAGATCTCAACACAAGCATCGAGTTCATACAGGCCGTCATGCATCACGGATTTGAAGGGGAGTACTCTATATGGAGCACCTCCATTTCTCATTTTGATACTCCGTGCAGATTTCATAACTTGGGTGAAAGAAAATATAAACTTCACCCTCACCACTCGAACCTCAGTTTCACAAACCTTCCCCGTTTCTTTTTTATTTTTCACTTTGCTTCCTTTTTTTATTTTTCCCTTGGACCCCGACCCATGGCAAAAATATGTCACCAAAAACGATACGGAGTACGGAATAAATTACGCGGGCTCCAGGAACGTCCCCGAGCAACTATCGATTTTCCTGTGTCGATTAGGGCCCATAGCATGGCCGGAACAAACAATCATCATCAGCTGGTTAAGATCTACAGGGCCGCCGCCTCACGCAACGAAGCAGTCAGGACACACTCCACCCCCATAGTGACGCTGCATGCCCGACACACAAGACTGCTGCTCGGTTTACTCCGTACGCACCCTCCATTGCCTTGCAAACCGGTAAGTTTTCCTGATGGAAAAGCGATCCTTCATCTCGGGAACCAATGAAGCTGATTACCTGATTTTGACGTCCATGCAATAATACGCACCTGGCGTTGCCACTCTCACCGTTAATTCACTCTGGTTGTATATACTCCTTACACGTGATGTTTAAAGGGGAAGAACTTCGGCTAAATTGAGCCAATTCAGAAGGGAATTTGGGACCTTGCAATATCGGGAGTTGCGTGAATAAAAATTCAGGTATGGAATTGCGTCGTCCTGAAAATTAATAAAAAAGAAAAGCTTGCGGATTGTGCTTGTTTCCTTCCCCCTCGCTATGCAACGACCCTTGTCAATCACAATTTCAAGTCCTTCAAGAGCTGACAGAAACCTTCCCTGTCAAGTTACTTCCGCGGAGGGGCTCGTGGGATAAATAGAACATATGGGGTTGTTCTTGTTCTCCGTCTCAGCACGTATGGGTCACTGAAGGCGGAAACCAGTCCTGATGGATGCTTTCTCGCAGTAGTATAGGCTCAACAACAGGGGGCCTTCTCTGGATCCAGTAATCTCCCGAAGAGATATTCCATTTGAACGAACACATGGAGCTCTGGTTAACAAGCTGACGCGCCACGGTGGCTGATAAAAATGACTTTCGTTGTTTCCTCAGCACCTTATGCCACACCAGATCATTGGTAGGATATCCCTGTTCTCAATCACCTGCGGATTCTCAACAGGCCAACCTCGACAGCTAAAACAGTGTTCCCAGTCTATGTACGGAGTACGGAGTCCGGGTTTCTTACTCATGCTACCTTTCCCTGCGCACGAAGTACGAAGCACAGTCATCTAAACCAACCTTTGTATCGGGCGGGAAACCAAAGCAATTCTCCAGCTAGTTACGTTCTCCAAGCCGTCAGCTCGATACAATCGGCGCCCATCGTCTAGAATTCTTTTTTTTTTTTTTTTTTCCTTTTTTCCTTTTTCTTTCCTTTTTTTTTTTGTTTTGTTTTTACCTTACCCATCATTCCACCCCATCAGTTAGCCCAAGTCGTCCGGAGGACTGTGATAGAGCCTGTATCGAAAGAGATTGGTATATCATGGGAGGGCAGAGCTGCCAATCGCTACCTGTTCCAGGAACCCTGCTAGAGGTTTTCCGTGGAGGGAACCTTTGGTAATATTTCAGGACCTTGATGTCTGCTTGCCATATTTCATACCACCAAGCTCGGAAAGTCTCCCCTGATTCCTGGCACGGGAGCTTGCTTGGCTCTCATGCCATCTCCTTTTACTTGTTACCGAAGAGCTTTCGTCTCCTCCCTTACCGAGGCGATATCTCTGCCATTTTTGAGCTCTGACTCCATACTCCGTATGTCATCCTCGGGGACATGAAAAACAAAACCTTGAACTCAAGACATTTTCTCGTCCCGCCCCAAAACACGCTTTCGAGTCAGCAGATGATTGGAAGATCTCGAAATTGATAGCTCTGATAATTGTGAAATCCCGAAATGACCAGCCTCGTTTGATCAAGGCTTATACGAAGATGATCACAGTCCAGATCATGCGACTTTAACGGAGGAGCTGGAAGCGTACAGGTCTCCATTCCCACTCCGTCCAATGTCTGTTCACACCACTCCCGTCTCCACGCCGCACAGCCGAAGTTTGGGAGACGGGAAGGAACGTTGTTTCGTTCCCTGGTCCCTGGCGCCGGGCCACCTTATTTAATTTAGCCTAACTCAATATCTCCAGCTCGCCCCCTAACTAGGTACACAGCCCTCTCTTTTCCCTCCCCTTTTTAACTCCTCGGTCAGAGTGAGCAAGTAACCATTGGCTAGAGCCTTGTTTGTTTGCTTGACCTTCCTTACAGAAAGAGCAGCATGGCCATGATGGGAACTATTTGTCCTCCTAACCCACCTCCTCGAACGCCATCGGGACGGTAGCTTTTCCTTTTTGGTAGACATCCCCGGCTGGCGTTGCCCCCTTATGCCTCCTCCCTGAAGGCTCAACTTACACTATCACTAATCGCCATCTTCGCTGTTGTCATGAAATAGACGGCCTTATGCTTGTGTTCCCGTAGACCGTTGCTTGTGATACTTAATATTGCATCTCACTCTCCTACTCTCTTTGCCCAGCTGCAGGCCCCAGCTGCAGATATACCCCCCTTCCATGGAGTATTATTGCTTCAAGCATGCCAGGTCCTGGTGACCCATCCCTCTTGTTAAATCATGTTGGTTGTTTGTGCCAGAACTGCTCGTAGTGGAACAATCATTACGGAAACGAGCAAACGCTACTTGTCTTCCTTC